TTAGTGTAGTCTTTTGTGTCTTTCCAGTAACCTGCGAAACGATGAGCTCGCTCCTTCGAAGGAGCAACTGAAGCACCCACCTGCGCCCATGCCATAGTCATTCTCCTCTGCAAGCACGAGGTTGACCGGTGGACGACGGGGCCCATTTATTTTCTACTCCGCGTCAAAAAGGTCATCCAGGGCATCAATACAGCTGACGCTTACCTTCTTAAATTTCTTGAAATTCGGTACGTTCATGTTGGCAGAGTCACGAGTGTCATTCGTAACAGCCTCGCGATAGCGGTCTGAGTACTTGTACACCTCCAAATCCACAATGACCATAAAGTTCCCTCTGATATTTGGGAGGTCGAAGTCCCCCATATCCGTCCACTGCTGTTCTTCGCGCTGCAGATCCGGTTTCGCTATCCGTAACTTATTGAACTCGCGGTCAAATTCATCCTCGGTCTTCTTCCCGCGCTTCTTCGAAGCAACGGCAGTGAGGAAGGCCTCGTCCTTGTCGAGAACGTGCTTGCCACCGTCAGTAGCTTTCTTGGACTTTGCTGTCGTCCGGGGTTGTTCTGATGGCTGACGGGACAGAGGTACCTTTGACTTCGTCCTAGTTTGGGTAGCTGGCATCTGTCCTCCATCCTCTTCCACCGGGGACGGCACCTCAAATGCATCAGACTTGGCCCGCTGTGAGGGCCCACTCAGGCTCTCTTCTTCCTCTGCTACAACCGGTAATTGCTTTGGTGGTGCGAAGGCAGGTGACCGCACTGTCTGTGTGACGCTCTCATTTTGGGTGCCTACCACGTTGTCATAGGCTGCGTCAAAAGCCTGCGAACCCTCGAGAATTATTTTTTTTGGGTCGCTCGCCTCAAATAAGGCCTTGAACTTCTTATGCGGGGGTTCTTCCTCGACTTCGTCGACATCAATGGTAACAACAGGTATGTGGATCTCTGGAGGCGGGACTCCTGGCATTCCAGGCAATCCTAAGCGGCGTTTCAAGCGCGGGCGACTGCCCGACGGTGGTTTCTAGATGTTCAAATCAGGAGATTATGTCGATGAAGAGCAGGCCAGACATACAGGTGCTTGTGTGGATTCAAATTTAACTTTGTCAACATCTGACTCTGGCTTGTTGAAATTCATCAAGGATCCTTCGCTTGTCTCAGTTGGCAGAGGCACTCGTCGCACCAGCTGTGGTTTCTCAGTGGAGCCCCTACCTGCATGCAGGCTTGGTACGTACCTTTCGCTTTGGCTTGGTTGGCGGAGACTCAGGAATAACGGGAGGCTCAGGCGAACGCATAGCAGAGTCCTGTCTTCCGCTTCCGGAGGAGACAACACATTGGCTTTTATCCATATATATTTCTTTGTCTGCGCCATCCGGGAAAGATGGCTCGTCGGGGTGCGTATTGGGAACAAAGGAAGGCAAAGGAGAAGAGTGGCTTGATGATTCTGCATGAATGGAGATGACCTTAGTATGATAGAACATTGAGGAAAATTATGATGAAAGAACCTTGTGAACCGCTTCCGGAGGATGCGATGCGAGACGCATCCACATGAACAACAGCCTCAAGAACTGTCTCCAGTTGAATGACATACACGCTCAGGCTATTAAGCATATCTATCAGCGAAGCATTTTCAGGTGATTCATGTCACCGACCTTGCAGCATCTGCAACCATTTCTTTCCACTTCTCGTCATCAACAGCCCTCTGTATTACACTATCCTTCGCCAGCACGACCAGCCCCTTACCAGCCCCTCTCAGCTCTTCGACTTTCCTCTTTCCCTTGGCAATCACCTGCCTCCACTTCGCGAGCCCCGTCTTCAGATTGAATCCTTCATATTCTGCGCCACCCCTTACGACCAGGTCCCTCAGCTCTGCATCAACTTCCCCGTTCTCTGCGGGAAGGACGAAGCGGAAGCCCCTTAGTAAGTTCAGCCTCTCTTCATTTGGCTCCCAATGTTTGAAGCTCTTCAGCGCAGGCGGGAGGGCAGGTCCAAATGCGGGACGGTACTTGCTCTCAATGGGTGGGACAAAAGACTTTTCGAGGGCAGTCAAACCGAAAGAATCGTTTTCTGCAGGAGTACTGCCAAGTCGCACAAGTTCTTGCAACCATTCAGGCTTGATAAGTTGAGCGGCGCAGAGCAAAGAGGTCATAACTGGGGTTGTCACTTCATACTTTGGTGCGATGTGATGGGTGATAAGCTCATGCGCCGAAGCAAGCGTGCTAATACCTGTACGCAGTGTCAGTAAGTCCAGTTGAATCAGGGACGACACGAACCAATTGAGGCGCAGTCTTCAGAAGAAAGCGAGGGCATGCCCCTGACTGGAGGGACAAAACATGCTATTCGCAGCCATCGTACCCTGGACACTGTGTTAGACTCTATTAGAACTAGAAGGTTTCAGGTCGCCTACTCCACCACAATACCAGCAACGACCGTGATGTGGTCTCCATCCTCAAGAGTAATAGAGGCTGACGGATTGCAGGTCACGTCCCCTCTCTGTCGTTTTAACATGAGGCTCTTGAGCTTGTTATTGACTAGTTCAAGTGTGGGAACGTATGATGGATCTGCCTAGAAGACTAGTGAGATGGACTTCGCATTGAAATTCGGTTCGTACCATATTATCCGGCGTATACGGGCCCACTCTGAATTCGCAAGCATCACGAGAAATCTTTTTGTTGTTCACTACCAATGGTTGTTCTTTGCGACCGAGCCCGTAATTCCTCCCAGGTTTAAGCAGTTTCACCTCTGTGACTACGGTGAGTGTCGAGGAGAAGACAGAACAGTGATAGAGACGGACTGGTAGCTGTCGTATCCCCCTGATCGATGCTATCGAATGGACCAGTAATGAGCCACATAATAGTCTGTTAGAAACAATGAGAGTGTAGGATTGTTGTTATAAGAACGATAGAATACAGTATGGCATAAACAAGCTACTGCAGGAGCTAGACGAGAGCGGTCGCGCCAAGTAATAAATGGAGTGTGACACGGCCACGTGACTATTGGCTACTTCCACAGTTGGTCCACAGTTTCGTTTCCAGAAGTCCAACCGGGTTACCGAAGTTCAATAATTGTTCGAGCAAATATTACATTGAACTTCTGAAGGCGACCATCACGATACTCACGCCAAGCTGAGCTTCATCGATTTCCCCTCTTCGGTTCCCTTTCATATAGTATAAAATGCGGGGATGTCTAACCGTTTATAAGTAATTCCCGCTCTTTCCTCCAGTTGAAGCCATGTTGCCACTGACTAACCTAAAAATCGTCCTGTCGTTCCTGCTCGTCGTCGGATCTCCAGTTTCTTCCATTCCCTTGAACACCCACACAACCGCTGTTAGCCTTGCCGCTAAATTCAATGCAGCTGGTGTAACCAGTATCGTCGCAGGTGATAGAGCACGCGCTCAATCGCTGTATCAGGCTGCGAAAATCGGCAAGCACCACGCAAATGCATCCATCACCAACGTTGCACCCATAGGTTACACTATACAGGCTGGTATCGGTAACCCAGTGAAGCACTGTGCGTCATTCGAGTAAAGACCTATAACCGTAATTTATGAGTTCACCATGCCAGATGGACTTCTTGTGGATACTGCCAGTGGTAATACGTGGATTGGAGCAGACCAGTATTATACCATTACCAGGACCAGTGTTAACACCGGAAACACAGTCGTACGTACCTACTCCTTTTTACTATCATTTGATACTCATATCTCACTCCAAGTCTGTCTCCTATGGGTCCGGTAATTTCTCTGGGAAAGAGTACCTAGACACTATCACGCTGAGCTCATTGAGCATCAGTAACCAATCGATCGGGGTGGCACACGATTACCAGGGCTTTCGTGGTGTCGACGGCGTCCTTGGTATTGGTCCCGTGAGCTTGACAAAAGGCACGGTGTCCAACACGGACACAGTTCCCACCATCATGGACAACCTCTTCAGTCAAAAGTCCACACATTCTGAGATCCTTGGTGTTTACTTTGTCCCTGTATCGGAAGAGGATTCGACTGGCATACTCACTTTCGGTGGTTGGAACAATTCTTTAATGACAAGTGACATCACATATACCCCCATCACAACTGCCTCACCCGCTTGTAATTACTGGGGAATCGACCAGTCTATCGCTTACGGCAATTCAACTATCTTATCTTCGGCGGCAGGAATTGTCGACACTGCTACTGTACTCATTCTAATTGCGACTGGTAAACTCATATAATATGTACCCAGGCAAACACACTGAATCCATACCAGATGCCTTCGATGCTTACAAAACTGCCACTGGTGCTACCTTGGATGAGACCACGGGGCTGCTCAAGATCACTTCAGACCAATACAGCAGCCTGAAACCCCTCATATTTACCATCGGAGGGACTGCGTTCACACTCACTCCCAACGCGCAAATCTGGCCTCGCTCGATGAATAGCGTCATCGGTGACACCAGCGGCAATAGCGATAACGTTTACCTTATCGTTGCAGATATTGGTAGCGAAACCTTCGGTTTCGTCAGCGGGTACACATTCCTGTAAGTGATCTTATTGTTTCGAACCATTGCACAGCTAACTGTGGTGTTTGCGCTCTCAGTGAACGTTTCTACAGCATCTTCGATACCACAAACAAGCGGGTTGGATTTGCCACGACGGCAGTATACTGAATCGACTTCGAACTGAGTGTAAGTATATATTGCGCCATTGAAATTATAAGGCTGCGGGCTGGATCCGCTTGAATTATTATTCCACGTATATCCTGTAACGCAATGTGAATACATTTGCCATTTCAACATGACACAAGGAGCATTGTTGTTTGGCTTGAAATAGAAGGGACAACCATAGGAGACCACTGATTGTCTGGTCGAAACTACTAGCAGTTGTCCATCTCGCCTTGTGAGGAAGCGGGTCCCAAAGCGGCAGGGCCCTGTCTGCCACTCTTCTTGAAGAACCCCGATTTTACATTCTGAGCTTTCTTCCTTGCCGAGATATTCTTCGTTGTACTAATCTGTGAGTTACTCTATGATCGTGTTGCAACATGTCTTTTATACTGACAAATTACAATAATCCTCTTGCAGGTATGTAAGGCCTTTAGCCAGATGTACATGTTCTCCTCCGAGCTTCAGTACATCGTTCAGCGGCCAACAATTGCTCCTTGTTCCAAACAGGGGCGATCACACTGCGATTTCCGAGCGTCTACAACCGTCTCTTGAAGCTTGAGGCCGAGGGACAGAGCCTACGACGGTGAGTTTGACTTTCACTCTTTCAAGTCCCCTTTCCAGAAAGAGCGTCGAGAAGACGGCGTTGTGTCCAATGCGCTACCATGACGATGTGTTCATGGACTCAGCGGCTCAGCGCTCAGCCCCAAACCTGATCGCCGTTGTATTACATATTGTTGATGAGTCACGAAGCAGTCAATGTTGACCTTAAAACCCTGGATAGCGATACCGTTCAACATCTTTCAACATCTGGACGAAAAGTTCCGAAACTGATTCTGTCGGGACTGCCCGGATACGACGAAAACCGGGATGCAACAATGAGAAAGGTTTCGGGAGACATATTGCTTTGCGCGCGCCGAATTCAGAGTGTCCGAGTCAGAGTTGGTGAGTCGGAATCATGATGATTCCAAATAGAGGCGAAAGTTCTCGAGATTTGTAACAATCAAGTAAGAATTCGCACGTACGCCATTTTCGTGATGGCAGAGTTCGCATTGCTCACTGTTGGGCTCAGTGCTCAGTTTGAATTTAGAATTGTTATGGTTCCAGATAGAGGCGAAAGTTCTTGAGCTTTGTAAGGGATGGCAGGGGATGCTGTAACATATTGCTGTAAGTGTAACTGAAATTTGCGATTACAGAGCGATTTTAAAATACGGCTTGGTGAGCATGGGCGCCGGGGACAATGCACTGAGATTTCAGTACAAATACCAGGTCAGCCCCTCATCGACACATCATCAGAGTCATCCTTTCCCCTCCCTCGTCAACTGCTAGTCTTAGGACCTTTTCAACATGTCATCTCCCAAAGTCGCAATCATCATTTACTCCATGTACGGTCATATCGTCAAGAGTGAGTACAAACCATCCAGGACGGGGTCCTTCTAATATGAGACCTTCATCAGTGGCTGAGTCTATCAAGAGTGGTATCGAGTCCGCTGGCGGCTCCACCGCCATTTACCAGTATGTATTCAATCGTGGGCCCATCTGTGTACTTACCTTACTCACTGGATTATTCAGGATTGCTGAAACATTGCCCGAGGAAGTCCTCGCAAAGATGCATGCTCCCGCAAAGCCAAGTTATCCCATCATCACCCCAAGCGAACTTGCCGACTTTGACGCCTTTATATTCGGTATTCCTACCCGTTATGGCAATTTCCCCGCTCAGTGGAAAGTACGTCTCTGACTTGTCAAATCCTTCGAAAAATTCTAATCATATTCCTCATCGTCACAGGCTTTCTGGGACGGAACCGGTGGATTATGGGCCAGTGGTGCTTTGGCTGGCAAATTCGCGGGTGTTTTCGTTTCTACAGGCACACCAGGCGGAGGACAGGAGGCTACTATCATCAACTCCCTCTCTACTCTTACTCACCACGGGATTATCTACGTGCCTATGGGTTACAAAAACACATTCAGACAACTCACTGACATCAGCGAAGTTCGCGGTGGTATGTTTACTCCCTCGCATCCATAACTGAGGGTTGCTTATTTTACTACTCAGGTTCTCCTTGGGGTTCTGGCACCTTCGCTGGACCCGACGGGTCACGCCAACCTTCAGCCCTTGAACTAGAACTCGCTACCCTTCAAGGCAAGGGCTTCTGGGACATTGTTTCCAGGTACAAATTTTAGAAGGGCCATGGCCCATACATAATCACATTTACGATACTTGCAGAGAACTCATAATATACGTGCCTGAAAAATAAAAACAAAAATTGATGTGAAGGATGTTTGCTCGCTTAAATTGAGTTTGTTGCATGCTGTCTGACCAGTATATATCCTCGTGGGCGTACCTGCATCCTGACATGCATGCTTGGGGGCGATCTTTATCGCATGCAACTAAATTCCCTCCGCAATACCAAACCGCCCCCCCAAGTTATCAGTAGCTGTAGCGGTGCATCGACATTCCAAAGTAGTCTTTGATTCTTACGCTCGCGCGTTTTTGTAAACAACCGAGGTGTCAAGAAGACTCGGAATAAACGCAGGCGGCCTGCGAATACAAAATAAGTAATTTAAGGCCACACCCGTAGCAGAGTGACTCCAAGAAAGACATAGATAGCGGTGCTAGTGAAAAGTCGTCCGGCGTAACACTGCTCCGAGTGCACATTACCCGAGAATATGACCAGTCACGGTCACGTGTCAAAGCACAACTTCGTGTTATTTAAATTTTATACTATCAAAGTTCCACTTAGTTAACCACGGCACACATGATGGGTGCCGTCCTGTGGCTCCTACCCCGATATTCGATCCAGTTTCTGGTGGATACCCTTCAGATAATGGGATGAAGTCAGTAGTACAAGTCGTTCCTTACTAGGTCAACCGACGAGAGGGGTCCAGGACATCAATACAACCAGGTTCATTGTCATCAGCGAGGTTCCATGTCGGCAATAGCCAATACTTCAACAATGCTCGACAAGATCAATAGCAAGGAACCAGCAACACTATACAGTAACACTGTAAGTTGACCTTCCTTAACATTCCTTAATACCGTGTTCGGGAAGGGGGATATCAATACTGCGGTCACTACTAATCAAAGGATATTTAGTACACGATTCCTTCGGTGTTCCTTTTTCATGTACCACACATTGATATTCATGGTCCCTTGGAGGTAGCGGTGGCTAAAACGGCCGGCCGGAACCGTGCCGTTACTGTGGACCAATGGAGGCCCTTGCATTGTCTATTGGGAGGCATTTCCACTTGAAGAGTCCACTCTGTAGCTCAAACTTCTTTCCAATGACTTCTACCTCTCCGATAGTCAAGAATACTAGTCACGCAGCTCACCTTGTTAAGAAAGCAGGGTTTCTGTCTCTTCCTGGAGAATTACGGTCTTACGTTTTGAGCTTCCTTCTTTGCCGAGATCTACTTCGTTGTGCATCTGTGAGTGCCACCGAGTTACACCTTATGATTATGCTGCATCATGTTATGATTGTATTCTATACTGACAATAATCCTCTTGCAGGTATGTAAGGCCCTTCGCCTGACGTACATCTCCTCTTCCCAGCTTCAGTACATCGTTGAACTCAGTGGCCAGCAACTACTCCATGTTCCAAACACGGACGACCACACTGCGACTTCCGAACGTCTACGACTCTTGAGGGACAGAGCCCACGCGTGGTTTAAGTTTGACTTGCACTCTTTCAAAACAATCTTCTTTCCAACAGAAATGTGCGATGAAAGGAAAGCCGTTATTGATGGACATTTCTCTTTATGGGACAAAAATACAGACCTGGCCTGGATCATTCCAATAGTACCAAAGCGCTCACAACGAACATTCGCGCGCGAATGGTCTCCAGGAACGTTGAGTCCAATGCGCTACTCCGATGGTGTGTTCATGGACCCAACACAAAACCTGATTGCTGTCGTGTATTTCGTTTACGACGAGACGGCCTATATTGACCTCAGAGCCTTGGATGGTGATAGTGTTCACCCCCAAGCTGCTGGGCCGAAACTGATTCTGTTGGGGCCGCCCGGATACGACGAAACCAGATTTGCGACAACGCGTACGGAGCTTAAAGGTTTCGGGAGGCATATCGCTTTGCGACGCTCCTTGCTCGTTTCACGTGTCGAAACATGGGCTTCGGAGATGTGGCAGCTGCAGATTTGGGACTGGCAACACTCGACGACTTCTAATGTGAGCCTTGGTCAGAAATAATTGAAAGACTGAAAGATTAATTCTCCAATTAGAGTGTCCTCAGCGACACAACGCGACTCGGCGATTTTTGTTTCCTCGGAAGTAATAGACTGCTAGTTGTCACCATCGATTTAAAGATTTATTCAATCGAGGATATTTCTCAGACGCCGCAATTGCTGGCATGTTTCCAGTCGCCCGAGCGATGGCTGGTCAAACAGTGTCTCCTTCCGATGGATGATACTGAGCGGCGCAACGCAAACGCAAACGCAAACGCAAACGCAGAACAAAAAATCGATGTACACCTCGGACCCTAAACACCGGCTACTATGCATTACAACGGATGCGAACCGAGTCTACATCATATCCACCAGGATTTTTTTCGACCTCGATGGAATGATAGTAGCAATGCCAATACCATGGGATGACTGGGGCCCGTCAAATGCTCGTATTTTCCAGCACCCATGTGAATGCAAAATTCACGTCAGCGGGAATCGAGTCTTGCAGGCATTCCCAGTTGGCACGCACGTGCGCTTCCCGGAATGTCCTAAGGAGTATATATTGCATATGATGGACTTCAGTCCACTAGCTGTGACGAACAGGCGGGGTCTAGGACGAGTGGTCAAAGATCCATCTACGATAGACGTCACCGAGTACTATGGACTGTATAGGCGGAGCTTGACGACATCACTGCCTTACGTCGAGGTCGTTTCGGACAGGAAGATGGAAGCTATCGATTTGGAGGACATATGGCTCGATAAGGACAACATTTATATGCTCAACAACGTGGATTCTATTAATGATGAGAATATTAGAAGGCTCGAGGTCATTGACGTTTAGAAAGCGGGGTATGTTATCAGGTATTCAATTATTAGCTAATTCGAGCACCTTCGGATGTGGTGTTGAGTTATACCGTAGTATATATTGTTCGTTTGTTGTCGCGAATGCAGCTCGACAAAAGCGAAAGGTAAATATGTAATGGAGTTGACGATGCAAGACTGTATCGTTTGCTTCGTGCGATGTCGAAAGTAGCAAGTAAGACCTGGTGAGCCATTGAAAGTTGTCGACTCGCGGGTCCTAAAAAATTTCCTGATTGACGGTGGACTAGACTAGGAATTTGGTGTCCTGAACATAGTTGTACATAGGCACGGTCGCCAAGCTTTGCTTTCCTAGCTCACCTCCATGTTAGTGGTATTTCTCAACGCTTCATGGGAGGGCATAAAAACCGATGCAGTCAATTGCAAAGAATACACTGATCACAACACCATTAATAATGTACCTAAAGCGAATCGTCCCAGCTCTGAATGAAAAAATAAGTATACCTTGTTTTCTAACCAGTTTTATTGATCCGAAGGGTCTACATTCTCACGTCCCCTCCAGTGTATGGCTGCTGCCATTGCAGCTGAGCGCCATTCGGGGCCTGACCCTGGTGTGCGGTATTGTTATTGCTGACAGGCCGGTCGTATGCAGGATGCGAATAAAATGCAGCATATCCATGGGGAATCTGCGGCATCGGTTGATGTGTTGGGATTTCATACCTGGCATTGTAGGACCAAGCTCCTGAGCCATATGCATTCGAGGAGTAATACTGCTGATGAGACTGTGGTGCATAATAAGGGGCATAGTGCGTCGTGGGGCTAGTCACTTGCGTTGGAATCGCGGACGACGACGACACCGCAGCCGCCGATATCGACGGATAAGCTGTTACCTGCTTCGAAGGATGAGGAACTGCACTCGCAACGAACGAACCACAAGACACAAGTGAACAACAAGAGGGGTGTGGGGAAGATTTAGACTCACGCTCAAGAGCCGGTTCTGAGGGCTTTTGCACCACAGTTTGCCCTTCAGTCTGTCCAAAAATGACGCTTCCCCACTTGAATTCCCGCTTGATACCACGGTCCCAAAGAACCTCAACAGATCCGGTCTCCTCAATAATGCGCACCAAAGAGACCTCAAAGACACCAGAGCTAACACGAATTTTGATGCGTGACATAGGTGGGAGGCCAACGAGCTCGCCTTTGATACGGTCCTGTTTCGTAGCCCTCTTTGCGGCGGCGATAGCCTTCAAATGTAGGTGTCAACTCGTCATTGCTGAAGCCCGCGAAAAGAAACGGCTCACTGGATTATGCTGCAGACAGAGAACATGTACGTCGTACTTCTTGATTGACTTCAGCACCTGAGGCTCCACCTCAACGGGAGAAGGTAGTGTTGTATCTGGTTGCATCTGAGACTGAGACAAAGCCAGGTCCAAAAATGTAGTGGCCTCATCAGGAGTTGGGACAGTGTGATGCGCAGGAGGTAGCGGGTTTGGGTATACTAGTATCACTTCCTTCTCGACCTCGCGTAGTATTGAGAAAACAATGCCGCTGGTTCCATCTCTCGCGCAGCCAACATGGAAAGATTTCGCGCATTTTCCTTTGGTGCACTGGATAGGTGCGCCATGTGCCTTCTGTCGCGCTTTTGTACAAGCAGCACATTTCTGTACACGACGGTCAGCTAAGCGTATGTGAAGATGTTTCGCTGTGTTGGAACATACCAGATTCCATCGATCTCTCACGATCGCATCCACGCCAAATACCCTTTTCTCCACAGACATCTCCGTCTCAACCTCGTCTATCCAAGTCTCAGGTACCACCTTAGCACACTCTTCATGTGCCATCCAAGCCTCGGTTGCAAGACTCGATAAGCTTTCAGGAAGCTCCCGCCGACCAACAGGTGGATCCTGTACGGGGAACAAGCCATCCCTGCTCGTTGAGATACACAAACAGCAGGGGAAAATGTCCTCCACGGGCCGAGGGCCAAGCTTGAGGGTGACCCTTGACGCGGATGGCCCTGCGACCGGTGTAGACGTCGAGGATTCTTTGGCTTTGGGGCGTTTACGCTTGGGTTGAGGCTCCGGGCCGTCAAGAGCTTTGCGCTTCGATGAAGGTTGTCGTTTTTCGGGCTCAGGCACTGGAGGGTACAAGCGCTCGACCTCTCTATCGTACAGCAGCTGATCTACATCAATCCGTACACTAGAAGAAAGTCAGACCGCTGATCAAACAATAGGACAAGATATCGACCTATCAGGAATGCATTGGCATGCCTTGGCCCTGCGTCCAAGTTCTACCCAGCTCTCCAGCGCAAAATTGACACTTTCGGCGCAGTTGAAGCCTAGGTTGAAGCCGGCATGATATCCACGAGGATAGGTGATGACAAACTCTTGCGCACGCTGAACCAAAAAATTGGGACGGCATGAAGACTGTGCCAGGAGGGTAGGTGATGCTAAGAAGGATTTGTGCCGCAGGAACTGAGGGCATTGGGAGATATCCTTCGGGAAGTAGCCTAGGACAATCAGTAACTATAAGAGGATAAAAATGATAAATTACCCTTCATGGTAGATTCCAAAGCTGCGGCCCGTCCTTGTGGCATTGCGTACCAGAATTTAGGAGCTCCAAAATGAATGTAATTGATGCTAAAGAGGTCCATGTCTTCAACATGCCATGCAAAGGTAGCACGCCACATCCCAAAGTATAGGTAAGGTGTGTTCACGCCTGGCAAGCCTTTGGATGACGAAGGGAGTAACCGCGACAGGAATGACGGGAGATGACCGACGTTCCAAGCTGTAGTCTCGTCCGTAAAAACTGAGCCTAGTTGAATGAAAAACCTTAGATATAACTTCTTGGAGAGTGTATATACAAACCTTGAGTGTCTGCTCCATACCAAGCTGGTTTCCCAAGGCCACAGTTCCGCCAAAATTGTCGTTCGAGCTTCTGGCAAAACTCCACGGTGTAATTATCAGCTGTGGTACATGGAGGCAGCCAATCTTTGTGCGGATCGAAAGTTTTGAGGAATGCTGTATCCTTGGCTGCACGCTCTGCTTCTCTTACCTCCCGACTTTGAGCTCCGCGTTTCTTCGTAGCCGGTTTCTTTTCAGATGCATCATTATCATCGTGCGCGGTCATCTCCACGTCTCCTGATAGTTGATCGTTGGACGGGGGATCAGGGTGATGAATTGGGTCATCAGCGGTTGTGGAAACTGGAGTATGGGGAAGCCCAACACTTGTCGGCGGGGACAGTGGGGTAGAAATTCCATTATGTCTTTCATTATTGTCGTCTCCCTCCTCTTCCTTGACCTGAGCAGGAGAGTCCTCCGGCTCAATAGATTCGACCTTGGTGCTTGCAGCCCTCGTTTTGGTGCGTTTTGACCTCGTTTTTACGGCCACGTTTCTGCCATGAAGGCCGACGTCTTCAACACCGGGTGCGCAGAACTCTTCCTTCTCGCAGAGCTCTGCCCACTCTCTGACGCTCATAACTTTACGTTTCTCGACGTTCTCCTGGCGAAACAGACCACCGCGACCAAGCATATGCTGCTCGATCGGGGTTCTGATCTTGACATCTCCCAATTGATTTTCAGTTCTAGGAAGCGCGTCGACCCTATGTAGATATGTGGGCTTGTGTCATGAAGTCAAAGGATCTCACGACACTCACCACTCTTTAGGAGGTATTACCTTGACGATACCGCTTCTCAAACCCCAACACTCTATTTTATTCATGTATCCCTCAAAATCTTGAAATTCTTGCATGCTCGGTTTGAATACTGGTATGCCTCTATGGGCTAGGGGGTCATCGTCGGGCTCGAGCCATGTTCTCCCGTCTGAGTTGGGAGATGGTGGGAGGTGTGTACCTTCTGAACCAAAGAAATGGTCGGGTTGAACAAGTGGAGCTGGAGTTGGGGAGCGTGACCTTGAGTTGACATCGGCAGGCGTTGTTGCCTCCATCGCGTTCGGTTAATCTCCCACGACGCGTGGAATGTAATCAGATCAACACTGCAGTGAATGGAGACCGAAAGATAGAACTCGTCGATAACAACGAGTAAGATGTAAATACCAGAGAGCAAGAACGTTGTGACCGTTGAGAACGATGCTGAACTTGTCGTAGTTGTAGAAGTCGTGAAGGGGCGGAACTGCTGCCAAAGGAAGTCGGCTAACACCGAAGACATTATGTAAGATGCCACAGATGGAATATATTATCAAATTCTGCAAATTATATGCTTTCAGTTAACTTCAGTCAAATTTCAATTTCCTCGCTCCAAGGTTAGTTATTCAACAGAGTAGACAGATAGACATGCAGAGGTTCTAAGCATTACAACAGGATATTAACTAAAGGATGTCTGTCGTTCCACGTCTTATGACGCTCGCAGACCTCAGTGGTCCTCAAATCAATCGACTTGTTAACCATGCTCATCACTTGAAGCACCTGTCTATGCCTTGGATGACTCCACAGCACGCGACTAAGAAGAAGAGCAATCTTCGTATGCCCTCTCAGTCCCTTTTCAACAAGTCTATTGCTCTTCTCTTTTCAAAACGCAGCACGCGCACTCGTATCGCAGCGGAGACCGCTGCTGTTCTTTTGGGTGGACGCGCCCTTTTCCTGGGTTCCAGCGATATCCAATTTGGTGTGAACGAATCTCCACGTGACTCCGCACGAGTCATCGGTGGTATGTGCCAAGGCATATTTGCACGCGTCGGTGCTCATGAAGAGATCGAGGTGCGAAAACTCCGCGCCTATTATTCCTATATTTAATTAGTTTATTTTAGGAGCTCGCGAGGTACTCTCCAGTACCTGTGCTCAATGCTTTATCGTCATTTTGGCATCCAACACAAGTTCTTGCGGACCTTTTGACACTTCATGAGCATGCCCACCTCTTCTCGCCCGATATACCAGCCCCATCTCCTATAAAACCTCTTTCTCCCTTACGACCTCTCACGATTGCATATGTCGGTGACTCTGCAAACGTCCTCCATGACATGCTCGTGACCTACCCCCGTCTGGGTCACAAGGTTCGCGTCGCAACACCTCCACAACCCCAATACAACCCTCCCAAACCAGTTTGGGACCGTGTCGTTGAGCTCGGGTGTGACAAGCACATTGTCTGGAGCAATGATCCCCGGGAAGCTGTAAAAGGTGCAGATGTTGTAGTCACTGATACTTGGTACGTCACCCCGTCCCCGCCTGGGCATGCTCATCTATACATCTTACGTCATAGGATTTCAATGGGCCAAGAAGCTGAGAAGGCACAGCGTTTGAGTGACTTTGCTGGCTATCAGGTTACAGAAGCTCTCTGTCGTGAAGGCGGTGCAAATCCGGACTGGAAGTTCCTCCACTGTCTCCCACGAAAGCAGGATGAGGTAGACGATGAGGTTAGTTTCCGATTGAATTTTCATTTGGAGGTTGATTCAATATGTGTCGCGTGCTTTAGGTGTTCTATAGCTCTCGGTCTCTTGTTTTCCCAGAAGCGGACAACCGGAAGTGGACCATCATGGCCGTGTTTGAGTGAGTTTTTTCGGGTATCTGGGGATGCAATTGTTAATTCAAACATGCGCAGTCTTCTGTTCGGCAAATGGGACATTACGGGGGAGAAAGACCTTGAAAGGCGTTGAGTGGAATGACAGCCTGGAAGGACTAAAATATTGTAATTGCGCAGGATGTATCATGGTTATGGTGCCCCCTTCAAGGAGTACTTATAGGACATTTTCGACGATATCAATCATTTCCCAACCAACTTCAATGAATTCGAAACGCCTGACCGTTATAAGTTTGCAATGAAGTGGAATGATTGTTGAAGCAGAGTAGAGCTCGGAGAGACTGTGTACATTAGCTATGTAGATTACCGGTTAACCGAAGCCGTCCACGTCACGGGATGAACTCAGCGGCATCTTGGTCAAAAGTCCTGACTGGGTCAGTGATTGATGCACCCGCTCTTCAATGCTCCTCCGCCTGTCTCGCTCACGCCTGGTTAAACGGACAGTATATACTACCTTCGGTCTTGGCGGAGCTTACCTTGCAGATACTGAACTCAACGCGTCCGCCGTAACCCGTAACCTCCGCACACTATGGACTGTAAGACTAATCATGATTCAGCGCTTTCAAATTTATGACTGACGACGAATAGTGTGCACTCATATCAGTAGACTATAAGCTGAACTTCACGCCAGAGCATGCAGACCGTATACCCGCCATCCACCAGCGCGTTGCAGATCGAATGTACGACCTTTTCACTAGCAATGGCGGACTATACATAAAGATTGGTACGTTACGTTACTTCTGTTCACTCTGTCCCCTTCACAATATCTTATTTGACCTAGGTCAAGCAATAGGCGCGAACGCCGCGCTCATGCCCGCACCATTTCAGCAAAAGTTCGCCCGCCTCTTCGATGATGCTCCACAAATTCCATATCCTACCATTGCTCGCGTATTCCAACGCGAATTTAATAAGTCCCCTCAAGAGCTGTTTGCTTATTTTGATGAAAACGCTATGGCCAGTGCCTCCGTAGCACAGGTCCACAAAGCACGTACATGGGATGGCGACTGGGTCGCAGTGAAAGTACAGAAGCCAGACGTAGGGCGTCAGACCAGTTACGATCTCATGGCATTTAGAGCCGTGATGTGGGCATTCGAGAAGTGGGTGTTTGACCTACCTGTTTATTTTGCCGTTGGTGCGTCTGCCTTCCACGGCAATTAAATACAGAACTGACGTGTTAATTGTTAATAGACTTTATTTCCTCTCACCTCCATGCTGAACTTGATTTCATTGCTGAGGCCTCTAATGCACAGCGGACTGCATCTCTCATTGCATCCGAGCCCCGCCTAGCTGGAAAGGTTCACATTCCGAAGGTTTACCCCGAATTCTCAACCAAGCGTGTGCTAACAGCGGAGTGGATCGATGGCGTGCGGCTAAGTGACCGGGAGGCACTAGGTCGTGTTGTCGGCGAGAAACTGCCTGAAAGAGGTGGGGGAATGTTTGCGGATACGGTGCATGAGGAAAAGAAAAATGGCGTCCCTGAGAGCATGAATCATGTCAAATTAAAGGGCGGGATGCACACAATAATGCATACGATGGTCCGTATTTCTACCTTTCTGTAGACTTATGACTGATATGCCTCCTATTCGTGCAGGTTGAGCTGTTCAGCGCACAAATATTCGACTGGGGCTTTGTCCACTGTGACCCGCACCCAGGGAACATCATTATTCGTGCTCGCCCAAGCTCCTCGTCGTCTTCTCAATCGTCATCAAAACCCGTGCTCCGCGACCCTCAGCTGGTACTACTAGACCATGGCTTGTATGTTACCATGCCCCCCGCCGTCAAGCGCCAGTACGCTTCTCTCTGGCGCGCACTCCTCACCTCGGATTGGGATACAATAAGAAATGTCACCGAAAGCTGGGGTGTCGGCGAGGCGGGGCTGTTTGCGAGTGCCATCCTGATGCGGCCTGTGAAGATTGGGCAGGCTAACGGGTCGAGTCCACGTGGGGAGAAGGCTAATGGGGATCCTGGCAAGGAGCTTAATGCATATGAACAGAGTGTTCGGATGAAAGAACGACTGAAACGATTTCTCGTCGATACCGATAAGATGCCCAAGGAATTGATTTTCTTAGGGCGGAATATGCGGTACGTAGACCCCATATTTATACATTTACATTCGCTAACTCTCATCTCAAAGAATTGTACAAGGCAACAACCAATCGCTCGGTTCTCCGGTCAATCGCATCAAAATTACTGCGCATTGGGCTTCCCGCTCGCTCGTCACGACGCATGAACGATCATCTCGCGCATGGTGGGCCCGCCTCGACGCGCGCGAGCTCTGGCGCGATTTACTCTTCCGCAGTGCCATGTTCAGCCTCGACGTCGTGTTCTGGGTGTCGAAAATTCGGCAGCGTGTGCGTGCATTGTTGGGCCTCACGAATGGCGGCTTTGAGGATGAGCTGGAGAGGAGCGTGAGGGGGTTTGCGAAGAGCACATTTGGTGTTGAGGTAGGACCTGGGGCGTTTGAGGGCTAGTAGATTTGAATGTGTGGGTCCCAGTGTGTCACGGTGATGGAATAATATTGCACTTATCTCTATTTGCTATCAGCTAAGGACTTCTTAGATGATGATCTAACTAGACTTGGACTCGTATATTTTATTGTGCAGTACTGTCCCTTCCGGTGCAATCGGCACCTTTGATATTCAGCGTAAGCGAGTAAGCACAGTATTAACTATTTACTAGTAGATATGTGCGAGGGTGATTGTGCTGTGGTTGTAGAATTGAGGGTGATGTAATGAGACGTACATTGTATGGATGAGGTGTCTATGTAAGTTTCGATGATAATGCAACGGGACTACCAAACCGATTATTGCAGGACGTGGCCCAGAGCTGGGGTTAGCGCAGAATTGTTGAAAATATCCAGTAGCGCTGCGCCCACAAACCGGCACTTCCAAAGCGGTGTGCAGGATTGAAATATTGAAACTCGGATCCGGAGTCATGGCGCATATCAACAGGTGACGTTTCTGTGTGACTTCGGCGCTTTCAACCGTCTCACTCAATTCTGTCTCACTGAGTCGTGGTCATGTTAGAGAGAATGATATCGATATGTTTACCTAGCTAGAAATGTGATTTTTGTGAAAGTGCCGACTTCTGTAGGGTGTCGCGAGTTTACATCAGAATTCGGGATAGTACCAGCGCTGGTCTGATTGACGCCACCGACTGCTACTTTGGGCCATATACGGTACAAAACCGTTTACAACCAGGCGAATACGAGTTTTGAATAGAGAATGGGGACTCGGTACACAAGTAAATACATAATACTGTAAAACTCATACCAGGGGTTGGTCGATACGAACATTCAGTCGCGATGGAGAGTGTAGTACCAAGTACATATGAGAACAGGCAAGGATTAATTGAATCCGACGAAATTTGCCGACGGCATCCTATTACCCCCGCGGTTCCCTACTAGTAGCGAAGTGAGCTAGTCTTCGTCTGTTTAAGTACTAATAGCTGATGCCGACCAGGAGACGGACCCGGGTAAAGCTCGGAATGTACTTATGGTATCATGATTGCCGCAGTGCCAAGCGCATTCATTCAAAGATAATGCGTGAACATAAATTTAGGCATAAAAGAGTCTTGCAGATCCAGTGTTTACTTCAGCTCACTCACTTTCTTTGTTTTCCCTTCGTGTCTCATGGCGTCCAATTCCATTGTGGGTATGTGGGGGCCGGGGTTCATTGGTGAGCATTCCGGTGATCCACCTTACCTCGCAGCTGACTTTAGGCCAAGGATACATCATAGCTACAGCGTAAGGACTCGCGTCACTCGGTCTCTATCTAAGATTGACTTGCAAAATTGTAAAGGCTCTATGGGATATCCTTCTGGCAGTATATGTTCTACCTGCGATCTTTTCCGCAAGATCCGAAAAAACTCAAGTTATTCGTGAGCACAACTTTTTACATTCATAAAAATGTCACCAATGTCATCTTTCATCACTAGATAATGACAGTCTTGTGGGTGCCTCGCACAATCTTGAGTGTATGCTGATACCATAACGGTGTCACAGTCTTTTCGACACAATTCACCAATACGCAGTGATAGGGATATACTGGACTATCTTCATTTCGTGCCGACGTAGTACGTCCCTCGAGTGTACGACTAAGTTCCCCTGGTAAGTCGATAGATTTGTTCCTGGATCCTAAGTGGACTCATTGGGAGAATAGGCAGATACTGGCAAGTACATTTGTGTTATTGTAGTGTACTGTATAATGATCATCGACGACGAAGCTGGGAATATTTGTGTCAGTAAGTCCTCCATGTTTGGTCGTTCATGATGTCCAGTAACAAATTATCAGTATTCGATCATTTTCTTCGTTCAGTGGTACGAGTCTCCCAGTAACTGACCCTCAGGACGATGCTTATTTGTTTCAACAACACAGTTTCTACGCGTACAGGGTGTGGATAAGTGAGTCCTTCAGGATCGCAGTGCGAGAGTAAGGGTCTCAATGTATTCTTTTAGTCACGGGCAACAATCACTGGATCACAGGGATAATTGTGAGATCACGTTTTCATCATTTCTTTCGTAGAGCCATCATGATGACACAGACCATCAGTGCGTGCTCATTATTGCGTCGTTCGGTCAGTTCTTTCGATCGGCCATGTAACCTCCCTGACTTTGAACACTATAGTTTGCGGCATGAGTTACATTTATCTTTTAATTCTGGTGCCACTGTTCTGATATGTTGTCGTCTTGGTTTCTAGTCCTCTGTGGTTTAGCGTGAGTGCTTGATCATTGAGCTTGTACGGTCCCTCACTTAGGCGTCAAAGATTATACACGAGAAGCCCTGAAGTCTTATTCAGTATGAAGGTCTGGCCAGTCATAGTATAGTTTTTAAAAACCCTAACGAATCCATACCTCGAATCAGTGGGGGCCAATATCGACATTTGCAAGCGCATTATGTGATTCTGTCATCACAGGGTCCATATGGTTGTTCATGCGACCAGCACGAACGGGCAATATTCGGTGTGTGGTCTCTGCTTTGCTTGTTGTCCGACTCATGCGGGATTCTGTGATGAAAGGAGAAAGTCAAGAAATTATGTCAGTGATATGATGTGGGTTTTTATCAACATGGGCTTATTTTCGTGGTATGTGCAATCCTCCACACCTGTTGTATATTCTATTTCATGTGTTTCCTAGCATTTTAGCAATCACTGTGGCTGTAGTGGTAAGTGGTTGTCGTCCATGCTTGCGAGACGAGGGATCAAGACTGTTTCAGTATATGTTTCAAGATGGTCTTATGGGACAGTTCTACACCGCTGCACCTGGAGCGGTGATAGCGAAATGTCAGTACGTTTCCTTTGCGCTGCGGATACACTAAAACCCTCGTCATAGCCTATATGAACTCGATGATGACGGTGTGAGTGAGATCGTTTCTGTACGCGAAGCTCACTAAGGCGCTATATCGGTGGTCAGGCTCAATGCTAGGAAGTCCATCCGCGAACGGGAACAACTTGGCTACAACTTAACAGAGCTTCCTACGATACCTACAATACGGTGATATCTTGTCCTGGCAGACATCGGATATGATATCTACATAGACTTATGACCTCCGTAATCCTCGGCCAACATATGGGGCGTGCCATCTACCCTACGACTTTCCTTTTAACTGCTCTATCGACGCTATACATTATATACACAAATCAAAGACCTTCTACAATGATGAGCCTATCTGTCAGTTATCCTGGAGCGCCGCGACTGTGTTGTGTGATCTCAAATACTATTAGATACAAGGTACAGCCCTGGGAGGGTCGGTAGCAGTCTGTGTTTTAGGGTCAAATTAGATTAGGGTCAAGGTTACCGGGTAACTGTAACCCGGGTAGCCTGGTGGCTGTTAAAATTACCGTGACAATAGAACGGGCGTCTATAGACTTCCGCGCTTAATACCATCTTCAACATACTCATAGGTCCCCTCGAACTGATCCGTTACAATACAGTGAAATGCAACGCATACTACGCCTGACAGGCCTGATATGAACATGGTAGATTCTACGATGACAACGGGATTCTCTGAGGTTGATGAGTTTTCCGATCATCAATACTTGAGGATTGTGGAGTCAAACGTCCCTCAATTACGACCGGAATCCGAGACGCTTGCTCGGGCGGATCTTAGAAACCCTGGACTATGTCCATAGGTCGATTCATATTTTTTCCGTTTCCTTATCTCGCTCGTTGTCCTTCTTCAAGTTATCCATCTTCCTCGCCGAGCGCACAGCGTTCCATCTTACTCACTGACGCTATGACCATCGCGAGCCTCCGGCGCTCGCCCCAGTATCTGCCTAGGCCACTTGCCAAGCGCGCTTACTCTCTGCCATCTCGCAGGACACTTGTTACAGTGTCGCCTGAACATGCAAAGGTCACAGTGGGCATACGACGAGAAGATCCATCGAGGATATGGGAGCGTCGCTGCCCCATCACGCCTGACGAAGTTGCCCAATTCGTTCAGCACCTCGACGTCAACGTTCTCATTCAGGACTGCGATCGTCGAGTGTTCCCCGTTGACCAATTTATCAAGGTAAAATGTCACCACTCGTACCTCCTTCCTCAAGTCCCTATGATATCTTCCACCTGACTCTCAAGGAACCACTACTATGACTATCGGTCACTGGCAGTTCTGCTGTACATTCACATGTTCCCTTTCCCGATATTTCCCGAAGTGGGTGATGACTGACTATGTTCTATTTCAGGCTGGCGCCAAATTACACCCGACACTGGAACCTGCGCATATTGTGGTAGGAATTAAGGAGACACCACTCAATGAGTTGGTTACGTCTCCTGTTTCTGCGCCGGGTTTGCGCTCAGGTCCTTCCATACCCCGCACCCATCTGATGTTTTCTCATACCACGAAGGGTCAGCCCTACAATATGGAGTTGCTCTCTCGCTTCCTTGGTCCACAAGAGAATCCATTGTTGCCCCGGTTGATTGATTATGAACTCCTTGTAGGTGAGGACGGCAAACGAACAGTTGGTTTTGGGTGGTTCGCAGGAGGTAAGCAGCGGCTCGAAGCTATCAGCAATGGCTCACCATTAAATAGTTGCTGGTGTCCTCGAGTCTTTGTCTGCACTTGCTCATGCACATCTTGAACTTGGAGTTGCTTCTCCTTTCCTTGTGAGTGCTTCCACTGTGTCGTGTAACTCTAACCCTAGCATCATTAACCCTAACCTTAATCGCCGCTGTAGCACACGCCTCGTCCACACACACATCCATCGATCCCATCGCTACGCTCTGCACTCCGAAGCATTGGCCAGGACATTATAGACAATGGGACGCCTAAGGCATTAGGACCGTTCGTCATCGGGCTTACAGGGTACGTGCTTGTTCGTGATCCACAGAATTTATTGACGACTCGCGTTGATAGAAGCGGGAAAGTGACACAAGGATGTCTATCCATTCTAGACGAGCTCCCAATTGTGAACGTGGCCGTGAAGGACCTGTCTGGACTCGTCAGTAATCCAGGTATTGATTATCTTTCTCTGTCTGGATGCAAGCTCAAGTTACACTCAACTAGATACTGACCTTCATAAGGTGTTCTTTTTTGCTCCGTATGGTAGTAAGATCATTAACATTTTGGTAGATATACCTCGTACACGCGCTCCCTAAAGACTACCTCACTCGTTCCGACGGTGGTCAATATTCCCGTGATGATTATTACAAGAACCCAGCCATGTACCACTCGGACTTCGATACCAAGGCAAGCTTCTCCATCAGGTAATGGTTTGGTATTTTTTCTCATATTGTCCTCTCGGTAGGTTGCACCATACCTCACGCTCTTCCTGAATGGCGTTGGCTGGCTCCCGTCTTTCCCGCGACTTATGACGAACAAACAACTAACCACTGCTCTCACTCGTGCAACCGAAGTAGGGCGAGCACGTTTTGGAACAATCGGCGACATCAGTTGTGACGTTGAGGTACGACGATTATTTAATGTCGGGGGATGTGTTGATCATTCATACCGTCTTACAGGGAGGTCTTGAGTTCCTACCCCGTGCATCGACCCTCTCAGACCCCTTCTTCAAGCACCGACCATTCTCTCTACCTTCTCATCTTCCGAGCGTGACTATCATGTCTGTTGATATCCTTCCCTCAAGTCTTCCTCTCGATGCTTCTCAGCATTTTTGTGGGGTTTTAATGCCATATTTACGCGCCCTGATTGACGAATACCATGGTCAACCTGGCTCTCGCGAACATCTCGAGGCCCTGAACGTTGCAACAGTTACTCGGAATGGCGAGCTGCAGGGCAAGCATCGTAAGTTGGCGGCGCCTGTTGAGAAGTGGCAAGCGAGCCAAACCGCAGAGATAGCGAGCAAGGCAGGAGTAGCTGAGACAACCCTGAGGAAGAAGCGCGTGCTCATGCTTGGCTCTGGAATGGTTGCAGGCCCTGCTGTGCAAGAGATCTGCAAGAGGTCTGACGTGGAGATTATTGTTGGTTAGTTGTTGTTTTGCACATATCATGGACTTTGGATTAATGTATACCTTAATTTCCGGACATTTATATCGCGTGATTTAACGAATGTCGCTGATAGCCGGCAACGTGCGCTCAGAAACGGAGGCTTTGACACGCAAATACTCGAACGCGAAAGCGGCGTATTTGGACGTGCACGATGTTGCAGAGATGACAAGGTTGATTCAAAATGCCGATGTTGTTATTAGGTGCGTGACGTCCTCCCACCTACAATTTACGCCATCTGAGTAATGATCATCTTGAAATTAGCTTGCTACCAGTTCCTTTTCACCCTGCCATCGCAGAGCTGTGCATTCAACACCGTAAGCACCTCGTGACAGCGTCATACATCTCGCCTGCCATGCGTGCCTTACATGAACGGTCAGTACACATGAACGTTCGTTATCGTCTGCGCTGATGCCGTTTACTTTGTGCCATTTCTCATATTCTCCCGGTTGCCTATGGAACATTCCGATATTGGTGCCATGGAACGATCACTCGATCTGGAACGCATTACGGAACACAGGGCTCAATCAGCAGATGTGCTTTTGCTAAACGAGATTGGTCTCGACCCAGGGATCGATCACTGCTCTGCATTATCACTGCTTGCGCAACTTAAGCGAGATAAAAAGCATGTGATCTCGTTCACGTCATTCTGTGGTGGTTTACCTGCCCCTGATTGCGCAGATGTCCCCCTTGGGTACAAGTTCAGCTGGAGCCCGAGGGGTGTGCTCAACGCTGCACTCAATGGAGCGAGATTCAAGCTCAATGGGAAGGTGCGTCGATAATGGCATGAAACACGCACAGGAAGGTTTAATTATTGTGGCATATAGGAGATGGAAATATCTGGAGAGAATCTTCTGCAGGAATACTTCCCCGATATCCCAATTTCTCATGTCCTGAAGCTTGAGGGCCTTGCAAATCGAGATAGCCTCCCGTACGCGGAGACGTATGGACTTGGTAAGCTTGAGAATTTGCAGACTGTTCTTCGTGGGACTCTCAGGTAGGTGGCGTTGAGCGCTAGATCATTATCTTTTAAGGTTGACTGTCACATGTCAGGTACCCTGGGTTTTCTGATTTGATGCATGCCTTCGAGGTCATGGGGCTACTTGACACAAAAACCTCCATTCAGCTACGTGATTGGCGTGACCTCGCACGGATGTCCCTGGAGAAGCGAATTGGAGAGCAGATCGGAAATGATTGCCGTTCGTTTTTGTCAGCTCTTTCCACCGTCATGACTATCGAACGTGCGGAAAGTGCTCTCAGTGCTCTGGACTGGCTGGGCCTTGCGCCGGAGGGCGTTCCATGCAACATTCTCTCAGTAATATCACTCAAACCACAAGCACCGATCGAACTTTTCACCTCGGTCCTTGCCCACAAACTCAGATACAACCCCGGGGAACGCGACATGGTCGTGCTGTCGCACGAAATTGTCGCTCAGCCGTCGCTCTCATCTATAGATTCCGCCACGGAAATTCACACGTCGCGTTTGGTGGCGTATGGAAACTCTGAGGCGTCTGCGATGGCGCGGTGTGTTGGGCTGCCTGTCGCTTTCGCTGCGCTCGAGGTTCTGTATGGCGGCGTTCAGATGCGTGGTGTGCATGGGCCTACGGATAGGAGTTTGTATAGTGCTGTGCTTGATGGATTGCAGGGAGCTGGGCTTGAGATGAAGGAGTCTGTCAGCAAAGGCCCAGGAATGGACAGGGTGTTGACAGAAGGGCTGAGGGCACGCGGGGTAGCCCTTTGAACACTCCGAGACTCGAAGGATACTAATACCACTATACCAATCCGTATAATTGATACATAGTTCCACCATCAACTTGAATGTAACTGCGGGTTAGGCTTGCCCTCCGTTTTAACTGCAGGCTGATGACAGCAAGGAATCGCCGAAATACTTGGCATCATTTTTTGGAGGGAAATTGGGGACATTCGCAAGGGGCACAGACGATTATTCATTGATGAGTTTGCTTCTTCCGAGACGGAAAAACTTATCTACGTCGAATCGGGGTAAAGAGAAAAGGAACGGAGGTATACACGAAACACGAACTAGCACAAACGTAAGTAACTAAGAGAAAACTACCACGACAATCTTACACATCGTTCTTCGCCTACAATCTGCAGAAGGATACAAGAAATTACTAGTGGCGAGGCAACGCCAGTAGCTGTTGTTATAAATAACCGCTATCGTCCTCCTTCTTGTCATGAGCAACGTCGTCACCCTCATCCAGTATCCGTTCCTTGTCAGCAGCGTTCATCGTATCTTGCATGACTTGTTCGGCGACAACAATTCGGCCACGCTCTCCACCCGTCAAGGGACTGCTCTTGAACTTCCCTGCCTTGATGCTGACCGTAGGGACACGTTGCAAGGTGGGGGAGCGCAAATCACTCGGCACGGGAACGGGGGGCGTACTCATCCCCGACTCCTTAGCGATAGTGAGACGACTGTTTTCTCTCAAATAGGATAGCTTCCAAAGACGGTGCTGGTGACGAGGATCGTGTACCAGGGGCGCTGACAGAATCGGGAACAGAAGCGGCGATCCCAGCAACAGAGGTAGATCTCTTCTTCAAGGTGAAGCTACTTGCCGAAAGAGAACCCTTAGCTGAAGTGGATGCACCTTTAGTTGTCTTTGCGGGCCGAAGCATGTCTTGCGGCTCATCCATCGTTGCCAAGGCTTCTAGGGTCTGGATGGCCGGAATAACCGTCTCAGGTGCAACCTGCTCCTTGATACCATCGCTGATGGGAGATAATGCCGAAGTCTTCGAGACAGGTTGTGCTGTAGAAACTTCGTCCGTCTCACGAGGTGTCGGGGGCTCACTGCTAGAACGGAGGAAGCCGAACGACTTCAGCGACAGAGGACGCAGGACTGGACCGGTGGGAGCAGGCTTGACCGCCTCGGTAGGCTGTGCGGCTGTAGAGTGTAGGTCAGGTAAGGATTTCCCATAGAGCTCTAAAAGAGGTGGGTGCTCTGTTGGGACGTAAGACGAGATAGTGCCACCGGCACCGTCCTGATCGAATTCGTCATAGATTTCTTCACCAATAAGTTCTACACGAAAGTTAAAGGACGCGCCGGTCATGAGAAGCGGTCGAAAGCACGTACCTTCGAGGACATCTTCCAGCGTAATAATGCCGAGTGGCATTATTGCAGGATCAACTGACCTGTAAAAAGTCCTCGGCACCTTCTTTCGTCAGAACAGCGTCATCAGGGATGCTTTGCTCCAGCGCAGACGCCGAGCGAGGTACACGGAGTTTCTTTTCTTTGCTGGTATCATTTTGGGCCGCCTGCTCTTTAATAATACCCATTTCTATGTCACGCCTTACTCTGCCGCGTTGCGAGGGTCGTCCTCGCCCACGGCCGGTCCGGACAGCTCGCTGGGGTATATGAATGGCTGAATCTTTGTCGTCTCCGCGTAGTGTGGATTGACCATCAGCGTCCAGTTCATCAGCACAGGATATCTCTTGCGATGCCTTTCCTTCATCTTTGTTCTTAATGTTATCCTTCTCTTTACCATCCTCATCCTCGTCACTGGAGTCACCCATGCCAACGCGTTCCCGCAGGCGTTGCGTGAGGGAACGCTTGGCGACCTTCTTGACTGAAGCAGCTTTCTCGACGCTAAAGCGAGACACTATAGCCATGTGTGAATGACCCTCTTGAAATCTGTCCAGAATGCCGAGAAGAGACTCGTTATTTGGTACGAAAGGGACCTTGTTCAGCGGAATCCTGCGCAAAGGAACCGCATCCTTCGGATCAAGAAGAAGACACTAGAAATAAATCAGAAAAGATAAGACGAGCACGAGGAATAAGCTCACGTGTTTAACGAGCAGAATGCCGATTATCTTCTTAACCTTCAACATGCGATCTGATGCATCGGCAGGGATCTCGACCTCTTCATACACAGGGACACGGCTGTGTCCAGTAAGGCAGATCTTCTTCATAAGCGCGTAGTCGAGTTTCGAGTCAATCGATAACATGAAAACATTCTCAATGGGAGTCATCGCCTATAGCCAGTGCAGACACATAAGCCGATATGTCTGAAAACGTACGCTAGTCCGACAACTAACCTGCTTCACCACTTTCTCTTGTAGGTCAAGTGTGGCGCCGATAATCGTGACCGTATCAGTCTTGAGATCACCACCAAGGGAAGACATCGACGAATGCAACGCAATGAGCTCTTTGAGTTCTGAGCAGAGAAGAAAACCGTCAGTAGAATTATGGATGTGAAATATGGGCTTCTACCTCCTCTACGGTACATAATTCCATGATGGGGACCGAGTACTAACTCCAAAAGTTTGGCAATAGGCCATGCAAAGACGCCCTACTATAAATTGGTTTACATCCCCAAAAGACATGCGATGACGTACAAGAAGATAGATTAGGCCTCGAGTGAAGCCTGCCATTTGAGCGCCAAAGTAAAGACCATGTCGGGTGCACAACGATTGTGGAATAATTTCCGAGAAGCTAGAAGCAATTTTGGGTGAGCAATATTTAAATGAAAACGTCAGAATGTAGGGAAGCGAAAAGATGCTAGGTAACATCGATGACTGATTTATCACCTGGCCGGTCCTTTTGCGGATCAGAAGAGGACACGTCAAGAATGACGGATCAAAAGCACTAAACGACTCGCCAAAATATTTGAGAAACTGAGCCGCAAGAATGAACTCACATGACAATTAGGACGGTACTGACGACTACACTCTGCACTCCGCCACCGAGAATGGGGTCAGAGATGACAGGTAGGGTCTCGTTGACGATCATATTAGCAAGAAGCAGTGTGACCAACAGTAAATGGCCATTTTTCCTGATAGGCATGATCTTCTCAGCATAACGTTTTTGTTGACTGTAAAACGGACAATCAGGGAAGACAGCAGATGAATACAAATAACTCTAACGAACGGAGTGCCGCTCATACTCAACACATTAAGCTGGGTCTCGTCCAAGCTCATGTAACCTAGAGTCAGACCGGCAAATACACCTGATAGGAGGACGAGGACAGGAATGAGACACGCGAAGACGATGAACTCGGGTCCGTGAGTGCTTGCAGCCGCACGCTTTGCATAGGCGTGCAGTGCTGAAGGACTGCCACCATCGGGCGTGGAACCGAAGAGTTTACGAGTGATACTGGGCACATATTGCGATAGAAGTGAGAATGAAGTCACTAGAAGACGGGGGGAACGAGGAGAAATATTAAGCGGGGTCGGTACCATTCAGTGAAGCTGAGGTCACAAAGGAAGGCAGGCAGGAACTAACCCAACCCAAGCCTTATAACTCCCCGCCCATACTTATTAGTCATCAATATTCTGGACCGCACTGTAGTATCTAAATATATCTACATTCTGTCGACCGCAACTCCAAAAGATTGGTAACTTGAATAAGCCCGAGAGAGGCCGCAAACTCTACGTATAGCACTTACGATGCGCCCACGTTTGGAAACAGTAGTTACAGCATACCTGCTTGATATCGAAATTTTCTCGCATGGACTGGCATTGCATATGGCTGGGCAGTTTCCTATAGGTAGAACCTGTAGAACTATGTAACTTACGAGATCCTATAATATACAAACAAATTAATCTTACTTGTTACTAACAAGAGTTAGTACGGTTCAAGTTGTATCTTTATCTTCCGAAGGAGTGAGCAATGTGAAATCAACACGGAGATCTAATTATGCGACTTGAGCCTTGAATGAGTCTAGGTCACCCGCGGTGCTACTAACAAAATCAAATCCTGGTAGGTGTCACCATGCACTGCCCTGGCAGTGCCAGCACACCTAGCTTCTTCGAAACCGAAATGAACTTCCTGTGTTATCCAATGGTGCACCCTTGCCAAGTCAGTCCTGTGAAGCGTAAATTGCGGTCAGCTTCTCAGCGCTACGTGGCATCCAATTCCATGAGAGTATAAATAACCCACTAGGCATACCATGCATTGGACCATACAATCTACTGCTAATGCTGAGGTCGACGTACTGTAGAGATACGCACTTAGGTTCGGCCCTATTGAGGTGTGACCAAATGAACGTTAGGTTCGAAGGTTCGCAGGGGGCGTGTGACGTGTGACACGCTGTGCTTAGGTTCGATGACCGTTAGGCAGAGCCTGCCAGTGGATGACACAGAGCTTCAATCTACAGTGAATAGGTCTAAGGAAGTTGAGGCTGGGGGCTGTAGCAAGCGCAGACACATGGCAAACACTCAGTACAAGGTCAGACTTTTTTTCATGTTTTTACCGTGTGTCACAGTTTAGGTTCGACGGCCTCAAAATTGGTGTGACTGTCACACAAAATAGGTTCGATTCGCTAGGCGTGTGACGGTGTGACGAACTTAGGTGCGTATCTCTACAGTACCTTGTAAGTCATGTCAGTCTTCGTTCTGGAGGGGTGTCAATTTGCACATTCTCACCGCCGTCTTTGTGATACTAGATCATTAAAGGATTATTGGCAAGTAATGAAAGAATCAAAGCAGCTCAACCGTGCGGTCGCATCGCCGGACTGCTTCACAGCGATTCGACGTGTATTACGCAGCTCTATCAAGTTTTATCTAAAGTCACTGATGGCGGTTTTCTACAGTCCTCTCCGTTCGATTTTTGCATTTAGGTTGACACGTCACATCCCCGACCTGTTTTCTCACCACGCGCAATTATCTCGCCGTATGAGCCCACCTTTACAGATACGGTTGGCGCCCCGATTCACTGAGTAAGCGGAGATTCTATGACGTCTTTGGAAGTTCACTAATCAATGATCGATAAACGTAAGATTTGGTTCTGTAAGCTAGTCTTCATTGTCTTATGGGCTTGTCAAAAGCCTTGTACTATTATCACATCTTCCCCATGCTCTACCTATCCCATTTGCAGACCTAGGTGCCCCCTCAGCCTTTAAAATGGACACTGAGTTCCGAACTTCATTCCTACATCTTTCTCCGCTCCCAAAATCTGATATTAGCGTGCACAAATGACCATTTCAGCGACCCAGTGGGGTTCTCCCACCGCTACTAGACGGGCTTTGCTCATTCATGGCATTACTATGTCATCGAATTCTTGGGAGGGTCTTGCTCAGCTATTGGTGGCAGAAGGTCAAGCTCGACATACTTTAGTGATGTTCTTCCTTGTTGACAGATTAATCAGGATTCTTTGTTGTAGCACCGAATCTCCTTGCGCATGCATGGAGGCAGGGCAATACCGACTACCGTATATCCGCCTTTGCAGAGGACCTCCGACCATATTTCGTCATGGACACGTTTTACGACGTAATTATTGGACATTCTTTTGGTGGTGCAGTGGCAGTATCTCTCTTGCCATTCTTACCCAAAAAGAAAGAAACCACCATCATACTCCTCGATCCTGGCCTCGAGTTTACAGAGGAGCAGAACAAGATGAACTTAAATATATTTCTCAAGGAAACCGAGAATATTAAGCCCGTCAGCGTGCACATGGCTAAAAATCCTGCTTGGTCACACCGTGACTGCACGTTAAGAACGCTGGGATTCTCCATGTGCGATCGCACGGCTGTCGAGGTTTTCCGGGTATCCTTACAACTATCGGAATGTGAAGCATTGCTGACTAGGCCTCGAATAGCAAAACAGCCCATGGTCTTTTAGTGGCCTGCTCAAAAAAATCCCCGCTCACCTGAAGATCACCGTGCTTGTGTCAGACCCGAAGTTCGGCGTTGGTATTTGTAATTTGGAACACATCCCTCGTGACGTGGAGAGATTGAATGTTAGAGCTCTTACCGGTATCGGTCACTGGATTCAATACGAGTGTCCGGATACTATCATGGATGCAATTCCGCTGCCAAGGGCAAACCTATGAGCTGGACGAGGAAGAAATAGGTTTTTTGCGGTGTACATAGTTATTCACTGCTTGTATTCACATAACGTTGAGGTGACGCCCTGTGTGATATACTGTATGTTTGAGAACCCTTCAAGCTCGGTTGTTGAACTGCACATGCGTTGTACTTTGACGATCTTTGAAGAGTGATGGGGGGATACTAAAGTGCATCAAGATTCAACATGCCGTGGCTGTTCATTCACTCGTGATTTGGTGAGGGGCGGTACAGTACTAGTTCTCGTGGCAGTGATGTCCCCAAGTCAGTGTCCCTCGCGAGCAATATACAGGACACATTATGTGAAGCTTAAGCTTGGGGCTTCATGCTGCGTGCGGTATCACTGTTACTCATACCCAGCAGCGCGATTACAATCCTGATTTACGATAGGTTCAACATAAATTTATTCTATATTAACGCTCTGTATATTGGACTGGCTGGAACTGCGAGAGAGAGAGAGAGAAAAGGAAAAGGAGAACCAAGCTGCTATCGATGACTAGGACTGGTTTGTACCGTATCTATGTACGTCGATCGTGACCCCCCTGCCACCTCTAACTCTCACTCTGCCGCTGACCCACTCCACTGGCCCACACCTGCTGTAACCGGGTGGTCTGGCGCAGGCCCTCGGGTGTGCCAGGGTCCTGGCACAGTAGCAGGAGTCCTGGCTCGTAGTGCGTAGTCCCGCGGTGTGGTCCTCAATAGATAGAGCCGCAGCCTCCCGCTAGGTCCGTGCCCGTTCCACTGCTCTGCCCCAAACCAAGCCTGTACAAGCCTCGCCGGAATGCCCGCTATAATATTAATATTACCTAGAAATGTTTCCATGGCATTAATATTTGGCAAGCTTTATGGTCAAGACCAGAAATTCATCCGACATTTGAGAAGCTAGGCACGCATCATCAAGAAGTACCAGATAACAAACAACGACTGCAAATGAGATTTCAGCAAAAACCCTTGTTTGTACGAGTGTTTATCAAGCACCCACACCAGAAGCCGCGGTAAATAGGCAGCTTCCCGTGATGTATGAACTTTCGATGAAAGCAAACATAACAAGCGTGTGACAAGTTGTCAGTATGACCTTGTGTCTTGCGGACGGATTCGAGAAGGACGGGTGTTGTAGGAACGCCGGGCTTCAGGTCGTCTTCGAAATCACGGATTAGGGCTAAGCTGTTCGTCGATATCTTATGGTACGTAAGAAGAACTCATCTGCAAGCTTCTGGATTGTGACATCTTGGTTTAAGTTTGAACATTAACAGGATTGTGTCAGTCTGCCGCGTTTCATGCCAGGGCAACTGAGTTACGCTTTAAGTACTGGCAAGAATCGTTCTTAGGAGAAATTTTCTGTGCGGTAAAAGGTTGAACCTGTGTTTTTGTCAGCACTCGCGCCTGCTCCAGAAAAAAATGGAGATACCATTTGAAATCATCAGAACGCGAGGACAGTGCTCACCACCGTCAGGTTACAGTCTCACTGTAAGTCGATGGACGTCAAACTACTCACGCTAATTGAACAACCAGTAGTGACAAGAGGACCCCTATGGACTATTCATCGCGGAAACGGAGTGCAGATCCGCCTGTAACGAGTTACCTTTGTAGATGATAGTTTCTTAGTCTACATTAGAAGAAGCGGAAATGAAAAAGACAGCTGGTGTCGCTTCGGAAGGACCCAAATGTAGTCCGAGATGGTTTCGGAACATCTTCGAGATTAAAAATGTTATGAGATTCCGTCGAGATTGACAAGAGGAGGCTGTTCCGATTGGGTTAGCGAGGAAGAGGTGAACTATTATTATCAACATGCTGATCAGTGGAAAGGGAGAAATAGATGTCGATATATCACACCTCTGAAAGAAAGGCATTAATTATCAGACAATCGTAGGTGAGTTTTAACCAAAAAGATCATACTTCCAGAGTAATATGAAGTGAGGCGTCGAAGCGTATAGCGACGGTAGCATATGGATCATCCTCCTCCTGTAAGATGTTTGCCAACACCGAGTAATGGGGTTCCTCATTGTACCTAAAAGGATAGCACGGTCTTGAAGTGGCGCTATGCACGAGATAGATCAGAGTCCGGGCGAACGGCACGATGTCGTCGCGACGATTGCAGCCTGATTCCTGAACAGCAGAACACGAGGGCATGGACCAAGAGAAAAACGGCATGAATTGCTAGACGTCGATGTGAATTTACACTCACGAAGAACATCACTCCCTGCATGATGCCATATGTTGGTATGTTTTACGTTTGTGTAGACCCTAGTCTTGGGATTACAAATGCTAGAATGGTGAGACCAAAATCGACAAGGTAGGGTCACAGACCGTGTTCGGAAGGTTGCACTAGTATGTTTGAGGGATGCCACAGAACAGATCCATCAAGAAGATTACACTGAGACATTCATTCTGTGTGTGTGCAACGCCGCGCTCGGTTTTCAGCGAAACCTTTCTACGATTGAAATTTCAGGACCAAGACTGACCTGAAGATACTGAACGTGAGAATGAGAAAAACCGAAATATACCATAAGTTCCGCAGCCAGTCCACTGCTCAATTTTGTATCTTGAAAGACCCCAAACTTCGAAGAGATCTGGCAGGTAATGGGCTGTGATAATTGAAGTTTGAGAAGTTTGAGCATGGCTGTTCTAGGAATGGTTGCAGCTGCCAAGCGCAGCCACTTCAACTTACCCGACATTGGTCCGAGCCAAGTCACACAGCGCTCAGCAGCTGACTGTCGCGACGTTGACGGACTTCATAGATGCGAACACTTCCATGGTCTCTTTGTTATCTTATACATGCAATACTGGCCATTAGTGCACAAGAGTCACTTATTCTCAATACCTTGTATTCCTTTTCCGGAGCCTCTCTGTCTAGTGATCCCACATTTTCTCTTCCACAGGCTCAGCAGCTGACGGTATCCGTCGCCATTTGCTCGACCGGAACGACATCTCCAGTATTTTTGGTGAATAACAACACCGCGTCTACAAGTACCACCGATGTTTTTGAAATTCCATTGCATAGCGGATTCGGGAACTGGACTGGCACTGTACAACAAGGTGGATCATTAGTTGTACAAAATGTCGGTCAGACCTCATTCCAAGTTGCCGCATCGACAGGAGGTATGTGCACCGAATAAACACTGAATTCAATAGTTATTCATGCTGCCAGTAGCTCTTGTGCATGAACTAATTCCTGCACTCCCGTTCCTCGGAGACACTACCAATACTCAGGCTCTGATATTTTCGCCTCCAATCTCACCCATCGAATCCTTGCCGTCCATGTATCCCAACTACACACTTCCTCCTGCCAACCTTTCAACTCCTTCACCGCCATCATCACCTCCCGCATTCTCTCTCGTCATTGCGCCTACTTCCTCTGGTCTTGCATCTGGCATGCAGACAGCGTGTAGCATCAACTCTACTTCCTCCTCAGGCTTGGTAGTAAGCAACGATCTCTGGCTGCGCAATAATCACGGGTGGAGGTCTCAGTGGCTTATTGACGACTTAACACCGAGCACGAACTACACTGCATATGTTATCCAGGACCAGGTAAAATTGAGCGGACCGATATATTTCACTACAAAATCTCGTACGTTTTCTCCTTAGTGCAGCATACGTTCACTTATGTCTCCGTATCAGCGTCATTCCCCTGCCCCCTCGTGCACTCCCTTCCATTTTGCCCATCTACATCGTACGCTGTTCCTCTTCCCTTCCCCCAATCCCCCGCATCATCCTACGACTCTTCAAATCTCCCACAGAACGTATCGGATCCCCTTCTTCAGTATATGACCAACTTCACGACCATGCTTCTCACATTTCCATGCGGGCGTGACCTATACTCTCCCTTGCAGACCTGTGAAAGCTGCCAGGAAGCATACCGCACTTGGTTATGCTCCGTATCCTTCCCGCGATGCGCCGAGCCCCCGTCAGGTTCTTCGCCATCATTCCCAACGCCAGCATTGACTCTGCCTCAGAGCGGCTCGAACACACGCAACCATTTCCTGCCCAATGTTACATTTTCATACCAGACGGTTTTGCCTTGTTTGGAAGTTTGCAGTGCTGCTGATCGTGCATGTCCAAATTTCTTGGGAATCAAGTGCCCGACTCCACGGTTTAATGCGGCATCGAGCTATGGTGTCGGATTTATCGACGACGGGGAACAGGGTGTGCTTGGCGGTGGGAGTACGGGTGCGGCGCAAGATCGGTGGGGAAACGTGTGGTGTAACCCTAGTTGAACTGCGGTGTCGCAGACAGAGACAAAGGCGCCAAGTAAATCTCTGAGCTACAGCACGTGAGAAATATATAGTGCTGAATGCAAATCATTAATGCCGTGTAAAATATTACTGAGGGAATGTATGTAGATGTGCTGGCGGGTATTGGTACATGAACTTCGAAGTCCTTGACTCACCGGATGTGGGAGTTGAGCGAAAAATATGGTGAATGTGGTGCGAGAACACTGAAACCAGCGGGAGACGACGGATGTATAAAATGTGGTGATAGCGGGTGCCCAGGCTAGGAGGAACTGGAGGTTGCAGGAAGTTCTAGTGGCAAATTCTGTAAGTTGAAGCTGCTGACGCTGTGGCGGCATTCATTAGATCGCCCCAAGAAGGCCCGCAAACCTTGGCTGACTGGCAGTCAAGATTTCCTGCAAGATGTCCTGCAAGATGTTCCTTGATTCGTGCAGTCAGCTCGATCATTGTCCCATCTCTGGGCAGCCAAAGAGCGCCGGCAATAGCATTGATGAGGTCATTATTGCGCTTGTATGATAATAGCGAGCCATCGAATACTTTCGTTTTATGTCTTCCTCAATGCGCGGCAAGAGTCGAACATCGTTTTCGGCTTCTGCGAGATATGCAGATCCTTGCTCCGGTCTTTCAGAGTCTGCCGCACGACCTGTACAATGAAATCGGGATTGCAGGTGCCATTTGCGACATCCATGAGTGCACCCTGAAATCTTAGTTCAGGTGTCTTACCATGCTGCTATGAGTGAGTTCCATTGGTTCGAGCTATGTCAGACTCAGAGTGCGTCGCGTACCACGAAATCTACCATTTTGAAATTACCCCTCAGACGAGAGTTTGGAACGAGTGATCTTCGCAATTGACAGGCGGAGTGTGAAAACATCGGCTTGTCGGCACAAGAACATTTCTTAGGAACAGAGCGGCGTTGACCCACCTTTGTTTTTTTCCCACGCATGAACTGTCAATCACCCTCACACATCAATTTAATACTGGCGTGCAGCTTAATCGATAATCGATCCAGTGCGTCTATATAGCGACGCGCTAGCATAAGGAGACGGTCTAGCCACATGCAATTGACTCCTGCAAAGGTAAACATCTTGTGAACGTCCAAGTGTAGACCAACTCTCGATATGACAAATTTTCGAAGTCAGGCTATCTTAGTACTAGCTTCACACCCGTTGTGCCTTCGGCACAGGAAGCAAACGGAGCGCTTCACGCTCCTTTTTGGCTTCCTGGCCTCGGCTGCATCCTAGCATGTGGAATAAATAATTGATGAAAAATTGAATGAGAGCACAGGGGAATGGGGGAACAGACCAAAAATGCTCACTCTGCTCACACCTTTGGTCCATTCCCCCATTCCCCTGTGCTCTCATTCAATTTTTCATCAATTATTTATTGACATGTGCTGCACTTGAACAGGCAACAGTATTGAGTTGGAGCTTGAAAACCTGTGACCAATATGAATGGGCAACAGTATTAAGTTGGTGCCTTGAAAACACATGACAAAACCATGCGAAATTTCCTAAAAGAAATTAGCTAAGTTAACTGAACTAAGTGTTCCTAAGTGAAAGCCATGCAAGCTAGTGAGACAATTCCCACCTGTCACATCCTACTTTATAGATCTAACCAGTATTGATTACAGCTGTCCTCATCAATGGATTGACCATCCACTACATCCACAGCTAAAGCACTCATACAATGCCTGCCCCCTTTGCTCGAAGAGTCAAAGCTACAACTTCAACCAGATGTACTTTGGTCCTTCTTGGCCATCATGGCACTGCTGCAGACTGCTGAAGCGCTGACTGCCAACTTGTGCACACATCGGACAGGGACATCAGAGTCATGCAGATTTCTTCTGCAGGACAAACTCATGTGGTATACAAGTCGCCTCCTGCAGTCAAGCTATCAGCCTATCATGCAATGAAGGCTGTCCAAATTGTAACTTATTCTTAATGACAACACAGGTCCATTTGTAAAGAAAATGAGTATGTTTCAGAGGTCAACTGGTTGATGGAACTAGGAGAACAAGAGAAGAACAAAGAAGTGAGTACAGACATGATCAGTTGGAAGAAATGGGTAAAACAATATTGATATAGAGGTGAATGGCTTGCTTTTGGCAACCATCCTAGTCGTCCTAGCCACCCAATTTATCCAATTCTCCCCAAGAAATGCTGTGTGAACCTCCTGTGCACCTGTAACCAGTTGAATTTTGGACCCAAGCATATCCTTGAGAACATTTACGCTCCTTTGGAAGATGGTGGACTGCTTCTTCGATTTTTGCCTGCATCTTATCATTTGCGGCGCTGTCCACCCTTGTATCTTCTGCCACTGGCCGCATTTCACTCAGTACATACACCCTCTCCTCGCTTCTTCTATGGCCAGTCCTTCAGTCGCTGAGGATGGCAGGTCATTCAAACCATTTGAGCCATCTGACTGACTCAATCCACCCAATTCCTCCTGTGGAAAATAATGGACCGCTTCTTCAATCTTTGCCTGCATCCCATCATCTGCGGTGCTGCCTACCTCTGTTACTGGTTGTATCTCAGTTGCATACAGCTCCTCCTCAACTTCTTCTTTAGCTTGTCCATCAGTTGCTGAGGGCAGCAGGTCATTCAAACCATTTGAGCCACCCAATGCAACTAATTCCTCCCAAGAAATGCTATGTCCACCACCTGTGCATTTGAAACTAGTTGAATCCTGACCCAAGCATATCCTTGAGGACACTGATGCTCCTTTGGAAGATGGTGGACTGCTTCTTCAATTTTTGCCTGCATCTTATCATCTGCAGCACTGCCCACTCCCATCTCAGCTTCTTGATGTCTCTGAAGCAGACTGTCTCCCTTCCTGGTTGTCCAGCCAAGTAGCAAATACATCCATCGAAAGAGAACGCAGCATTGCTATGGTAGGATACTCTGAGATGTGGACCTGCAAGTACAGACAGCTGTTCTGGACAATGTGGAGATCAAGAGGAATATGTTGGCGATCTATGAAGTGGTTCCACTGGTTCTCCAAGTTGTTAGCTTTGATGCCTAGCATGGACGAAAGGCACACAGCAGTAGCGCCCCCACTAGTCTTGTCATCGCAATGGGTGTTTATATCTGTGCTGATCCCTTCTTTTAGCTCCCCTGATTCCATGTTGGCAAGTAGAATGTTGGATTGAATGACACAAGCTAAGTGATCATTCACTGTGCTATAATTAACTGTATATGAGAGTGATGTGAGCATCAAGTGGACCATAACTGATGCCTGAATGATATTGGTAGACAGCGGGATGGTTTGGAATGAGGTCATGCAATGTTGAGCAACTATGGAGACTCATGGAATATTGAGTGACCACTGGGATATCCATGGTGGGTTGGCAATCCACACCATTCATACCCAAGGGCTGATTGAGTGCAGTAGTGGGGACTGGGCATGCACACCCATATTGTTGGATGTGGGTGATAGAAGACTGCAAGCTCACTTGTCCCCTCTGTGCTAGCAGTGGATGGTCCACTAGCAGAGATGATGGATAGTGGTGGTTTGGCTTGAAAGAATATGGAAGAATGGTAGACTTATTGAGCAGAGGGCCCTGCATAATTGTCAAGGCAAGGTAGTATATTGAGATTGTGTAGTACTCGATTTCAGGCTTGCAGGACATTTATTCATTTTGGTATGTGTTCTCACAATCTTCCAGCCAGGTTACTAGGCAAATCTGTACAGTGATTACCTGAACTCGCTGCAAGATATCAGACCTCTGAAAAATTCTCCGTGACATTGCCTGAGAACAATTGATGTTAATGCCCAACTTCACTGATAACACTGAGCCTATAGACAATCCCCACATAATCCAGAACCATCCACCATGGAAATTGCCTACACTTGGATTTCATTTTCTCACAATTATATATCCAATACAGTGATGAATACCATGACCATGGATCATAAAGAAGTGTTTTCACAACACCTTCGATAACAGTATCATTGGCCAGCCATGTGCATGCATCCTTACCTGTGACCCATGTCAAAACTTGGATTCAGAGAACCAGAATATGCTGCGATGAGAAGGACCTCAATTTGATGCAAAGGGTGTCTGTTGCTGCAGGATGGACAATCAAACACTTGATGCCATAGTGAGTGCCTGGTAGTGCAGGCAAGTGACTTGTCATTCTAAAATCAGTGTAGGGGCTTGTAAAATCCCGACATGGGTGGGTGATCTTCTCCTAATGCATTGTGACAAATCTTGCATCTAGTGCTGAGTGCTAAGAATGTTTGACCCAGATGACATACAAGTGCTAGAAGTTGGACTTTGTGAGAGATGCACGCAAGTCCCCCTAAATGACAATTTCTTCACCACCGGAAATAACTTGCAGATGTTCCTGGGCCTGGTAATATCTTTGATATTTATTACTGTCATGTTGGAGTTCACACATGGGAATCATGTGAATTGCTTCTGTGGAGCCAACCGTTCATTTTGAAGACATACTTAGACTAGTACTCATAATGAACCTTTGTATTCCACATCAGCTTGCTCTGCAGTTGTCCGATCTTTGCATGCACACACCCCAGCGAGTCTATGCCCGTATGCATGTTCACAAGGCCTGGAATATCTTCTTGCACACCCTTCTGCAGGTTCTCATCATCCATCCACATCACCAACCAAATGCACTTTGTCACAGCTTCAACACAACTCACTGCATTGCTTGCCATGAGTGTATCCCACTCAGCATGCGTCTTCGTTGTTGCAGCTGTTGGTTCCAATGCATACAGTACTGGAGGCTCGAGCATCTCACTTAATATAATAGGTGTACATGTCAAACCTGGGTGGACATTCACGATCTGTATAACCACTCAGTACTTGGTGCTCGGTGACTGTTATCTGTCACTCCTCAGTTACTCACCCAAATCTTCCAAGTGGGAAGGAGCTCCTGTGCCAGGACTTCGGTGAACAAATCCAAGGCTACACAGCAGTGGTGAGTCAGAGTTGCACAGTCTGCTATAGGCAACATTACCTGCTTTCCTACGAACACCAAATGCCTCAGTAACACTTCACCAGACAGCATCAACCCACTCATGTGGAGCCATAGAACCTGACTAGCGGCGTTGCGGTGGTTGCTGCCATGCTCAATACTTGCATGAGTATCCCCCCAGTTCCCCTTGGGTTCACTTCTCTAAAGAATCTGACTGCCTTGAAGCTTACCATTACCAGCGCCCCAGAAATTGACATCCATTAACGCCCTGGCATGGCCCATTGGTACCCCCTCCAGCTCCTGATAAAAAATCTGCCCCACATTGTTATACACAACATCAACGTGTCCAAAGGTGTCCTTGGCCTGCACAAAGGCAGATTTGACCTGCGCCTCATTTGTCACGTCCAGTGGAAGTACTAAGAGCTGGGTGTGTGGGTATCTAGCAACAAGATCATCAAGAACAGAAGGCTTGTGCAGAGTTGTGACAGCAATTTCACCATTAAGCAGGACTTCTTCCACCATCGCCCTGCTGAATCCACTGGAAGAACCAGTAACTATAAGCATTCAGTGAACTGCACAGTGAGGAATGGCATCCCAACTGACTCAACCAAACTCGAGAAGTAGATTGTGCCATGACCATTATGCTTATGTTGCTTGTTCAAAGTATGCGAAGTATTATATAGCGCAAACCTTTGAGCTTCATGACACATCAAGCATAACTGTGGGACAAAGGCATGATAGATGGACTGCTGTTTGCGCAATTCGATACTATTCATCCCACGATCCTACAGGTTTGCATGCCTGTGCCGCTCATGTGATGGAATCCTGGTGACACCTCAGGGCTGGACCAGTACTACTACTAAGCTAGTCTATGATGTTTCTGGGTAGGAGTCGGCATGTATGCATGACTCCTCTGGACCTCAGATCCAAGCAGTCTGAATCAATCATGTGCATCGTATGTTGGGCGTGGGCGTGACCAGTAGTGGACTGGAGGATATCATCCATGCTATGAAGCCCTCTTAAAGTTTTCCAAACATAGCACAGGAGCAAAGTAGATCACCTTCTGACACTCAACTATGCATGTCAAAACTGGGAGAGGCTTGACCATGTATTCAACTCTTTCTAGAATCATAATCTCCTTTCCTGGCTTGCAAGGCAATGGTGTTCAAAGGACCTGCACTGTTGCATTGTTGCATTATCTGAGGGCCAGAAACTTGCATCGATGTGTTTGTAGCGATTTTATAGATTGAATTCACAGCCTGACTCACGCATATAGGAAAGCTCTAGAGTCATCTCAGTCATGAGTCTGTCAATTCATGCCACATGTCATATGTTAGATATAGTACATACACACCTCTGACAAACCTCTGACACTGGTACATCACGTAACATGATAACTTTTGGGGCATGCAGGCTGAAGTATGCTATCCAATTTAGAGTACACAAGTCTTTCACTCATCTTTCATGGTGTAGGCTTCTGTAATAGTCTGTGGAGTGACTGCAGACTGGAAACCAACCCAGAGCTTGACCCCATCATGGGCGAACCAGTTTTGAGCATACAAGTAGGTGCTGTTCTCAACAGCAGTGCGCCTTTCTGCCAATCATGACACTGGAAGTGACAAATCTCCTGCATAGTGAAAACACAGATCTGCAATGGTGAAATGAGGTTATGAGACATGGAAAGGCCTCCAAACATGTACCCCTTACAAGTTGTTACATGCCATGGCTGCGATGGACATGTTGATACGGGTAGCGGACATGTTGCTGTTAGTGAGTTTGAGTAGGGTATGGATTGTGCTCTTCAGGCTGTTCAATGACATTTCATAGACCTGGTAGTCTTTATTTTGAAAGTAGATGCCAAATTTCCCACTAATGTTTACATAGTGGTGTTGATGAAGTTGGTGGGCAGAAGGTTGTGGACTACAAGATGGCTGCTAATTCCGATATGGTTACTATGAGTGAAAATGAATACAAGAAGCCATGTATGTGCTGCTAACTGTGACTCACTTTGGTAGAAGGTCATTGATGTGATGAAAGTCAAGCAGGGAACAAGTCTTGCCTTAAACCTCTAGGTAACCCCTGTCCGGAGAATAGTGCAGATATGGATAATTCTTTGCTGGGAAAAAGATGAAATAGCATGGAGCCACCACGGTGTCTGGGCACGGATCTGACCATCATCCATGGAATCTGTGACCCAAGATAGGGTCACTGTACACCCTCAGAAGTAATATGCACACCCAGGCCCACATGTAATCTAACGACCTTGACTACATAGTCAGATGATAGTCAGTTACTTCGCTCACAGGGCAATGGGTTGGAGTAGGGGTAGGAGTGGAGTAGTACTGCTGTGGTCCAGTTCGGTCTGGTTCTTGAGGGTGTTTTGTTGAACCTAGAACCAAACCTTGGGTCCGGTTCAGGCAAGGAGAGTGAACGCTGGACCGGACCCTTATGAATGCATTCACAAATGTTCGGTTCAAGTTCAGAATGCATTCAAACGTCTGAACACAACATATAAATTTCAAAAAAATTTCGAGAACTACATGAAAAATTCAATGAGTAACTACTAACTACACCATATCCATGACATAGCATTCATGAGCTGCGGCAAACTCAGCTTGAGCTGTCGCAGAAATATGGCCCTGACGATACCCGCTCTTCAATAGTTGAAGGGCCTCAAACATCAATGGCAACAAACAATTACGGCATGAAGTCCCGGTGATCCTGCCACTCGAAAAAGCTCGTTCAGATGCAATGGCAGAGCCTTGAATAGCTAAGTAGTCCTTAGCAATGCAAGAGATAGTGGGATATTGAATTGAATGATGCTAAGGACATCTATGTCAACTTGTAAGGATTCAAAAAAGAACACTCACACCCCACCAAGCTACTACATTCTTGATATCCTCTAGCGGGGAAGCCAGGTAGTCCTTGAGTTCTTGACAAGGCCTTCAGCTTGCAGTGTCACTCATAACACAGGATTTGACAGCATCACACATCCAACTGTGGCCATATGAGCCTTGGCGTACAAGAGAGGAAGGAGCCACAACAGCAGGCTCTGCATCCAGCAAGGAATTATGATGATAGTATTTGTTGAAAACGATCTGTAGGCATCTCATGCCCTTGTTGAAGTCACAGGGCTCCCATTTACTCTTTGCATATGCAATCTTGTAGTTAGGGTCAAGTGCTAGATACAATACATTAGATAGGGCATTATATTAATCAAAACACATACCAAGACAAATGAAATAGACATCAGTTTCATTGATCTTGTGGTACCACTTGTGAAGATTGTCGATGCCAGAGTCAATGGTGGTTGAAAAGTTGGCAAACTTTGAAGACCCAGCCATATTTTGCCAGGTTTGTTGGAGGAATTCGAGCACCAGGATTGCATGCCATACAGTGGGTTTGCGAGTCGCAGAGAATGATTGCTGAGCATTTGCAGGCTCCTGGTAATGCAATAGGTTAATAAAAATTAAATTCATCAATGAAGAAGCTTGCACAGCACATGCACCTGAAGCACATCATGCATCAACTCTAGCTTCTTCCATTCCTTGGCTGAGAGCTTGAATGTGCCATACAACTTGCCCTGCAGGTTTGGAACTTCATTGCTATCATCTACAAGCTGTATAAACCTATTCACACCCTGTCAATAGAGTGAGTATTGTTTATAGCGGCAGTAGCAGCAACCAACTGACCTTATGCAACTTGAGGGTGTGCTCCAACATGCCAAACAGCGAGGCCCATTGAGTGCGAATCCATTTTAAGAGCTCCAGGTTGGGCTCATTGACCTCAGCACAGCACTTTTGGAAGAAGGTGCAGGCTTGGGGAGATTTTCATACCTGAAACAAGGGTTCATCAAACAGAGCTAGTTGGACATGGATACAAACTTACCTGTGTGACAAGTGCAAGTGCTTTTCCAACAGTGTCAGCAACATCAAAATCAGTCTCTTTGTCTTTGTCATCATCATCATCATTGGCTGTGGTTGTGTTCTTGAGGAGAACACTTGCTGGTGTAGGAGCAACCTCCTCAACAAAGTGCTTGGCTGCTAAGTGTAAGGCATGCTCCGTACAACTAAATAGATGTTAGCAGATATAGAATGACATATTAAATAAACTCCTTACCACACAGTGCTCACCTGCAATCCAGTTCTTACCAGAAGGGTCAATAGCGAATGTGACAGCCTGAATTGTGGTGTCATTATTGGTGGCGTTGTCAGCTGTGAACCATCCAACCTTGATGCAAAAGTTGTAGTTATCAATAGTGTCGATGAGAATCCTTCCAATATTGCTACCGCTATGATTGCCATTGATGATCGTAAATGCAAGCTGCTCGCTCTTCAACTCCCACTCCTAAGGTTTCCCATCTGGTGAGTCAATATAATGTGCAGTGACAGAGAGGAAAGGCACGCCCAGTTCAGACGTCCATGAGTTGAAGGTGACGGAGATTTTACTGTCAATGTGCTTAAGCTTCTCTCTGACACGCTGGACAGCCACCTTGGCCCATTCAAGAATTTTGTTGTGAGTCTTCGTACGATGGGGGATATCCCTGTCTGAAAGGGAGGGCTGGAGGTATTGAAGTAAGCGGCGAAATGGTCCCTTATTGATGAGTTGGAATGCCTGTGTAATCTTAAGTCACCATTATAAATCAAAAAAACATGATCACACACCTCATCCTCAGAGACAATTAACTCGACAATATAATCCATCAGCCCAGACTTCGTAAATTCAGGAATCTTAGTTGCAAGGGAGCCATCTAACATTCGCTGGGCTCCTTTGGTTGCTTTACAGCTAGGTGGTATTGCACGATTGTGCATCTTGATGCCTCACTCACTGCAGTGGTCTTGATAGATTGGGAAGTGGCACTTTGCATTGCGAGCAATATGTGTGCATTGAGTCGAAATGCTGCCTTTGAAAAAGGATTGATTGGCCAGTACATTATTAGCTCTAGAATTGACATGAGTAATCTGCTTGATGTTTAAAGTCAAAACATACCTGCATATCTCACACCACCAGCCGTCTTTGTGTTCTTGGGTGTGCGGATTGATGTGGCCTTTCTCCTGAGTAAACACTACCTTCAGATCTCCACTGTGCTCCTCTTTCTTTGTGTGCTTGCAATCCTTGCAATCCTCATCTCCAAACACCTTGGTCTTTTGGTAAGCTTCCTCTTTGTTGACCTTGTCCTAGTCCTCTTCCTTGTCATCAGAAACATCCTCCAGTGCAGGGGGTGTTACGAACTAGGATAGTTCTAATGACAGACAACTCAATAAGAGTTGATAACCCCTGTTGAGATTCTATGCGAGATGATAAGTCAAGCATTCAGGTGTAAGCTAAGGTAGAGGGAGTGCCTCTAACTTAAAGTACAATTCAGACAACTAGAGATTGGAGATCTCTAGCAAAGGATATTCAGGTAAAACCTAGTAAGATTAAAGTAAAGAACTAAAGCGTACAGGAGGACTATTTATAGTGAACTACTGTACTTTAGGGCAGATGTGAGAATGGAATGAGTCAGAGATAAGTGATGCATAAGTGATAGCAAGAATAGGTCATCTAGCAATGGCAACAGCGATTGTGATATAATACAAGGTATGAGTCAGAGGTAAGTCTAGCGGCAGCATCATGCGGCTTGTGACATAATACACAGTAAGAAAGAGAAAATGAATAGGGGCGTACATGGTTGTAACATTACCCCTCAGTTAGGAATGAAGTCACTGACTTCAGTCATCCTGATTAGCCCAATAGATTGGGTCAGCGTCATAGTTAGAGTCCAGCAAGTCATTTTGCTCCTCTGTAATGGTAGACAATTTATCAGCCATCTCGGTGGCATGATAAATAGCATCCTGCTCAATCTCCCAATGAGTGAGGGCTTTGTAGAAACCAGTGTCAGTCCAAACCAGTGGAATGACTGCTTCACCCTTCAAGTCTCTACAAAAGACTGACAGATGCCTGGGTGAATACTCTTTGCAAACCCAGCAATAATATGCTGGGCAGTTCTTATGGCAATGCCCAGCAGTGCAACAGTTATAACACACAATGTTGTCAATCGTTGTGGTTTTTATGGTAGTGACAGTGGATAATTGTGCTGGTGGAGAAGGGGATCTGGATCATCGTTTACGATTTCTGTGTGGGGAGGCCAACACTGTTTGTTTGGCGATATGGGCGGATCTGCACCTGATGGGGGTACCGACATGTAGTGGGTGCAATGGGGGTAGGAGAAGGAGAAGCTGGTATGTCAAGTACAGCAATAGGAGGGATACCATCATCCAAATGCTCAGTGGTAGCTGTTGGAAGAACTGGTGGTGGGATTGGAACAGCAATGTGTGGGGATGGGGGTCATGTGACTGGGTTTGTGGTGATCCATTCAGTGACAATGTGGATAGCTTCTCTGATAGCTTCCTTAGTATCATCAGGCAACAGATGGATTGCAGTATTATGAATGCGTATATGAAGATGGTGGAAGATGGTCTTGTGACGGTCATTGTCTAGAAGATTAGCAGTGCATTCGATAAGGCTAGTGTCTCTGATGATTCGGATAATAAGTCCACTAGAGATTGCCCCTCTTTCTCCTAGGAGACAATCTATCTCAATAGCATATTGTTGGGATGTGATGGCAGATTCGAATAAGGCACTGGTCTCAATCTGATCAATGATCGTGAAGTAATCAGTGAGGGTAGAGTCACTGGTTAAGGTAGTGTCAGTCAAAGGTGGGGAAGCGACTGGGGAAGGTGTGTTTTCAGTGGTGGCAAGGTTGGCAATGGTGGCAGTCTGGTAGTTGGTAAGGGATAATGGGTGAGCGACGTTGTCGGATACAGTGTTCATAGCAGCAGTGAGTTCTTCAATGTGTTGTATGCAGAGGCGTAAGTGTTCAAGAGACATTGTTTTAAGATTACAATCAATGGGTCTTTTTATATGTGGAGAGGATGTCAGTGGCGTTGCTGAGGTTCTCTTCTGGGATCCATTCATTACTGGTGGAGGAGTATCCTTTCCAGGACACTAGATAGCATCTTCTTTTACCCATACCTTTGTGTGATAAGATCACATTAATCTTGTATTCTTCTTCATTATCGATGATGTCTGGAGGAGGGTCGTGGAAGTTTGGGCCATGGACTTCTGTCTCATGATAGGGTGATAGCTCAGAAGCATGGAACCTGGGGTGAATTCTCCATTGTGGTGGTAGTTGGAGTGTGAACATGATGGGTGATAGCACAGCGATGATAGAGAAGGGGCCATATCACTTTGGTGCAAGCTTCCATGATGGTAACTGCGTGATTAGGTTCTTTCCTGATAACCAAACCTTATCTCCTACTTTCCACAGGTGGTACTTCTGCCCATGTGTTCATTCTGCCATTCACTGTATAGCAAGGTTGTGACAAGAAAGTGCTTCTTCTCTTGATTTCTGAAGTAGATGGAGTCGATCTTCCACAGCAGGTACTGTGGAGTCAGGAAGGGTGTGTGGGAGAGCTCTGGGTTCATATCCCATCATAAGGAAGAATGGGGATGCATTTCATGAGTTGTGTTTTTGGTGATTATGGATGAACTCAGCCATAGGGAGGTGCTCTACCCAATCCTCTGGGTGATTGTGGCAGTAAATGCAGAGATAAGTCTCAAGTTCCTGATTGAGACATTCAGTCTGTCCATTGGTCTGAGGATGATAAGCAGTGGATGCAGCAATGTCGTATTTTAAGAGTTTAGCGAGGGCTTTGGAGAACTTTGATACAAACTGCAGTCCTTGATCGGATATAACTTTCTCATGGAGACCAAAGCAGCGATAGACACATTTGAAAAACTTTGAGGCAACACCTTCAGAAGTGATGGTTTTCATACAAGGGATCAGAATTACCCTCTTTGTAAGGCCATGGTTGACCATGATCATAACAGAGTCAAAACCTGTGCAAACAGGAGATCAGTAATAAGATCAACGGAGACTTGGGCAAAGGGTGCAGAGGCGACAGAGGGGATAGGGATGAGTGGGGGAGTCACAGGGTGCGTGTCAGATTTCATTTGCTGGCAAAGAGCGCAACCATCAACATATTTCTGAATATAGGAGCCCATAGAAGGCCACCAAAAGTCACACTTGACAAGCTCCTCCATCTTAAAATGACCAGGATGACCGGCGGAAGCATGGTCATGACAACATTCCAGAATCAGGTGTCTCCTGGCAGGGCGGACGTAGGCATGATCTTTGTAGTACAAGATGTCTTCCTTAATTGTCCAATCAGCGAGTGCAGATTTCATGGGGGGAAGTGATAAGCCATCAAGGGCATCTGCAGCAGCATGGAAGATTGGGTCAGGATCAGTGGGGTCAGGATTTGCAAGTGTGGTCATAAGTTCCATGTCAAGAAGTTGTACAAACATAGAGTCTGGGAGAAGAGTGATGTCATCGTTGTCACCCTGTCTGGTTCCATGATCAGGATGTCTGGAGAGTGCATCAGGGGCAGCGAGTTTAGTTCCAGCAACATGATGGAGTTCTATGTCATAACAGGAGAGGAGGAGTTGCCAATGTGCTTGGCAACAGGTCAATTTTTGTGCAGTATGGAAGTAGAGCAAATTCTTATGATCCATAAAGACAATGACTGGATGAGGGTTTCCTTTGAGGTAATGATGCCATTTGGTGAGGGCACGAATTATGGTGAGAAGTTCACAATTGAAGATCTGATAATTTCTTTCAGCTGGGTTCAGGGTTTGGGAGAGGTATCCACATGGATGGTAGACTCCATTTTCATCAGTCTGTAGCAAAACTGCTCCAGTAGCAATGAGTGAGGTGTCAGTAGCAACAGCGAACTGCCAACTAGGATCAGGGTTCCATAATACAGGTTGCTTCAGGAAGCATTCCTTAAGTGTGGTAAATGCAGAGGCACATGGGTCGGACCAATGGAATACTGTGTCTTTCTTGGTGAGGTCGATCAAGGGTCTAGTGATGTCGGAGTAATGAGGGACAAAATTGTGATAGAAATTGCAGAACCCAAGGAACGACTGCACTTCCTTTACTGTGGTAGGGGCAGGCCAGTCACGAATACCATCAGTTTTCGCGACATCCATTGCAACACATCCAGGATGGATGATCGTACCTAAGTATTCAACTTCTTTGGTGTCAAAGGTGCACTTTTCCAGTTTCAGGAACAGACATTCAGCGCAGATTTGTTCTAAGACACGATGAGTTCAAGCATGGTGGGAAGGGAGGTCATTCAAAAAGATAAGGATATCATCCATGTAAATGACCAACCATCCTTCATTTATTTCTTGCTGGAAGGTCCAATTCATGTATGCTTGAAAGGTAGCGGGTGAGTTGCAAAGACCAAAAATCATGACATTAGGTTCAAAGAGGCCATACTCAGTGGTAAACGCTGCTTTCCAATGATCGTCAGGGTGGATTCAGATGTTATTATATCCAGAACGAACGTCCATTTTCATGAAATACTTAGTGCCATGTAATCGAGCAACCAGGGTCAATGGGAGTGGGAGAGGGTAGGTGTTCTTCACCGTCCAATCATTAATATACTGATAGTCCTGACAAGGGCATAGGTCACCGCTTTTCTTTCCAACAAAAAAGAATCCACTAGCTTGTGGTGATTTTGACTTGGAGATGAATCCTTTCTGTATGTTTTCATCAATGAATGCTTTGACAGCAGTTCATTCTGCTTCTGACAATGGGTATACCTTGGACATTTTTGGGACAAAACCAGGTTTAGTATCAATGCGATGGTCAATTCCAGGACATTCTGGAGGTAACTGACTTAGTCCATCTTTAGCAAAGATGTTGGTGAAGTTGTGGAGGTAAGAAGGGATGAGTTCTTCAAATGATTTCTTTTTTTGTTCAAGCCCAGCTGCTAGTGCAAACTGTTGAGCTTTGTTACTGGTTTTGACATATTCAGTGGGCCATGACAAGGGTGTGACCATGGGTTTCTGTTCTGCGGTACTGGTACCATCTTTGGTTAACAGGGTGTCCATAGAAATATTAGTGAAGACCCAGAGCTCAGTGGCATCGACAGGGTATTCAACTAAATACTCATCGTCATCAAGGTGGTAAGTCATGAGTTCCTGCACAGAAGGTGCGTAATCTTGGGTCCATATGTCATCCTTTGTATCAAAGGAATTGTCGTCATCATCAGGGATGGGGTTAAGGTTGGGTAGTACCGGGGGTTCTTCTTCATCTGGGATTTCTTCGATGGTGGCTCAGGGAGTTGGTTCAGCTTTCACAGGAGGCGCCTTCAGCAGCACTATGACTGGGGTTGGTTCTTTCTTAAGATGGGATTCTTTCCACATTTTGCTAATGGGTTTCTGAAAGAGAGATGGAAGACCATTCTTCTTTCGTTCTATGTCAACATCTTCTTCAATCAGATTGCTTTTCTTGGTACGAGAGAGTTCCAATGTTTCTGCTTTCCATCAAATCATTGGATCCATGGCACACAGCCAAGGGATCCTGAGTAAGATCTGATCATGACAACCAAGTTGCATGATATTGAATTTTCTGATCATGGATTGTTCATCAATTTTCATGATAAGGACACAATAATGGGTAATGGCTCCCCCTTTTGTGTAGCTTCCATCTGTTGTAGTAACTTGGAATGGTTTCGTCAGTTTGTGTGTCCTGATTCCGTGGAGTTTGACAAAGTCCTTGGAGATAAAGGTTCCGGTGGCGCCAGAGTCAACAATGGCTGTTGTTTCAATGGTTTTTAGATGGGTTTTCAAAATAAGGGAAATGAGAATGCGAAGTTCCTTTCTGATTCCAATACTTTGTGCAAGTCTGATAGGTACATTGGAAGATACTGACATCAATCCAGTCTTCCACATCAAAAATCCTCATTGATATGATGGACTTCCTCTTTGTCTTCTTCTTTGGCTGGTTCAGTACGACATACTGGAGCTTTACCATTCTTCTTCTTTGGGCAGTTACAGGAGACGTGGCCCTTCTGATGACAATTGAAGCACTTGCCATTCTGGTAGTGTTTGGTCTTCTCTTCCTCCATGAGATGGTTGACCTCCATAGCATTGGGGTCGTGGTGATCAATAGAGGGTCTGGGAACGTAATGTTGACCAGTAGGCTTTGTGGTCATGCAACTGTTGTTGTGGAATATCACACAACATTGCCAGTTACTGTCAAGTCTAATTGCAGCTTGGACATATTTGTCAAAGTCCATAGGGACAGTTTCCATTTGATAAATGGCATTACCAATTCCCTTCTTGAGTCTGTCATTGAAGAATGTAATCAGGACAGCGTCTTGCTTTACGGCAGCTTGTGCAGCAAGGGTCTTGAAACTAGCAATATAGGAAGTGAGGTCGCCCATCTGCTTCAGGGTTCGTAGTTTATGCATAGCAGTACCAATGGCATCTGCTGGTGCAAACACTTCTTTGAACTTGGCTTCGAAGTTCGTGAAGGTTTCATAGGATTTTGAGGTGGAGTTATCAACTTCGGTGTAAACCATTAATGCCCAGCCCATGGCACTATCTTTAGTCATATACACAAGCGCAGTAATGACTTTCTTTTCGTCAGTGTTGTAAACTGATGAGTTAACAGCAAAATATGCTTTTACTGAAAACAACCATGTTAAAGTGTGGTCAGGGCTTCCATCATAGTCTTTCAGTGTTCTGGCTTTGAGCTCAGATGAAGAGCTGGACATTCTGATACTGGGATGTGCGGAAAGATTTCGGGGTGGCTGTTCTTCTGGGAATGTGTCTACTGAAGTAGTTGAATGATGATCAGGTTCTGTGGTTACAGGGGACAGTGTTTGTCTCTCTCTGTCTTCTGTGATATCTGGACCTTCAGCCTCATGATATTCTTCTTCTGGTTCTGTGGGGACGTCATTTGGATTGCTCTCCCACCAATACTTTCTAACCCAAGGGGTCATCTTGCTTTGAGCTACTGGGGCCTCCCTGGATGGAGAGGTTTGATAAGGACTTTAATCTTTTGTTACAAACTAGGATAGTTCTAATGACAGACAACTCAATAAGAGTTGATAACCCCTGTTGAGATTCTATGCGAGATGATAAGTCAAGCATTCAGGTGTAAGCTAAGGTAGAGGGAGTGCCTCTAACTTAAAGTACAATTCAGACAACTAGAGATTGGAGATCTCTAGCAAAGGATATTCAGGTAAAACCTAGTAAGATTAAAGTAAAGAACTAAAGCATACAGGAGGACTATTTATAGTGAACTACTGTACTTTAGGGCAGACATGAGAACGGAATGAGTCAGAGATAAGTGATGTGTAAGTGATAGCAAGAATAGGTCATCTAGCAATGGCAACAGCGATTGTGATGTAATACAAGGTATGAGTCAGAGGTAAGTCTAGCGGCAGCATCATGCAGCTTGTGACATAATACACAGTAAGAAAGAGAAAATGAATAGGGGCATATGTGGTTGTAACAGGGGGTTCATCATCATTGTCATCATCATGGTGACGGATCAGATGGGAGCCAGTTTGCACTCGCTTGGGTGCAGGCTGGTCTTGAGGAGGTGCTGGAGCTGATCGTTTCACTGGAGCTGTGTTGACAGCTTCATGGATTTTCTCCATCAGTTTAACAGCTCGACCAGAGTGACAAGACATGAAGGAAGTCAGCTTCCCATTGGATGTAGAAGGCGGAGGTGCAGGAACCATGGGAGTGTCATCATCAGGGTCATTGTACCAGTCAATAGCGCTAGCATCTTTCAGTTTGCCATCAGATCCAAGTGCACATGACATTTTGGCAGCAGGAAGGGTGAAGATTGAACCTATAGTAGCTCATTTATACCGAAATCTGCATTGAGATCAGAAAAAACATGATGCACCTTGAACATACTGTTGCCATGCAATTAGTTGAAGCTTGAAGTACCTGAGTGAGAATCTTGAAGATATGTTCTGGACATAATATAAGTTATAATCCAAATGATGGTGAATGTTGGGCTTACCAAAACATCAAGCACTTTACTGAAGAAGCTGGATGTTGCCATTGTGAAGTGGAGGACATCTGGGAACTCAGGATTTTGCCCCATTCACCCCATTCATGTTCTGTTCATCCATACTGCCAGTCCCCGACTCTGCCTTGGCCAACCCAGGCACATGACATGCACCTCCACATCACTACAATGGCTAGTGGGCACCCCAGATCTCACACAGATCTTGGTTTTGAAGGGGGCGCTGGATCTCATGCAGATCCACCCAGCAAAGGGTCTCAGCCAAGTAGAGTGAGCATCAGTGTTTGCCATGATGCCACTGTGCAAAAGCTGAAGAGGATGACAATGATGATGGGAGCAATGGTAATCAGGGTTTGGGAAAAAAAACAGTTGCCAGAAGATCAGAGAATATATTAGTAGTAGTTGCCTAGCAATAAGGGCATCAAGTGCACTGTGGATCATACAAAGATTCAAGAGAGGTTCGAACAAGTTCAGATGCGTTCAGAACATGTTCGCAAGTTTCAAGCATCAGCCAAATGCCAAACATAATAATGCATCTGGTCCTTACAGTATGCCGAACTGGGACTGAACCTACAGTCTGGTTTGGAAAGGTTCAGGTCCAAACCGAAGTTCTGAACCGGACTCTGGCAGCACTAGAGCAGAGTAGCAGCCGAGTAGCACCGTACTAGTAGCTTAGAGGCTGTTCGGCAACCGATGTTGACCAAACATCTGGCAAATGTCATGTGAGAGGTTCTCGGCTTCAAGCGCTTCAATTATCAGAGCTCAAACCTTACAACTCATACCTGTACATCTACCATGAATTCTTATCTTATTGACTACTATCGTCAGCAGAGACTCTGTACCTCTGTTGTTGCACTCACTGCTCTCTGTGCTAGCTTCACCACAGTCCTCATGGCTCAACCAGAAGTAACATCGATGTCGGACAATGCAAAGGCACACTGGCAAGATGCAGAAGTGGATGTTCTACTTCATCACCTGATTCAGAATCAGGCAGCGGGTGGTGATGGTGGAAACTTCATGATGCCTACCTTCAACAGTGCAGCAGCTGCTATCAATGACAATGATGTGATTCAAACAATAGGCCCACCAAAGACGGGCAAGATGGTTAAGACGAAGTGGACATCGGTATGTGATCATTTCTTGAATGATTATAAGTTTACGAGCATGTTTTAGCTCAAAAAAATCTTTAATCAAATTGAGATCTATCACAATGTATCTGGTTTCCATTGGGATAATGTGCGGGGGGCTGGAATCGAGGGCACTGCAGCTGCCAGTGTTTGGGATACATATGTTGATCCCAAGGTATGTACTTATAATAAATTCTATTGCATTTGACTGACATCCAAAAGTCACGAGCTGCAATGCGCCCCTTTTGCAACAAAGGGTGGGCTTCATATGACAACATGCAGATGATTTTGGGCAATAATAGTGGCACTCGTGGAAGGCATGCTTTGCATCCGGCTACTGTGCCCCCTCCATCTATCAATACCGCAGATGACATCCTTGATGTTATTGACAGAGGCCTTGACTTTCTTGACATGGATGTAGACACTCAGGCTGCTGGAGCTGCCACTGCCAGTGATGTACCAGACATGAGCCCTGATTTGATGATGCCACCTAGTGCCCTGCTTCAGGGAACCTTCACTACTACTCAGGTTGCCAGCTCCCAGTCCAGTAAACGCATGCACACTAACACTTTTGTTGACTCTTCATCTCAATGCACTGGTGCCCCTCCCACATCCAGCAATCCTGTTCCACTCTCATCAACATTGGTATCGTCACCAGCTCCCAAGAAGGTGCGAGTGTCAGCGCATGGTGGCATGCAGACAGGGATGAGTAGTGCTGCAAAGATCACTCCTGCCACTGCCATCATGAATATGCAAGGTAGCATTAACTGCCTCGCAGATGTTATCGAGAAGACCATATCCACTCCACCTCTGCCTCCACCACCAGTCCCTGTTGCACCAACTGTACCAAATATCATCTCTCATGGCCTGGAAATTATGCATGGCAAAGATGGGGAATTTTTGTCAGTTGGTCAGAGAGCCAGCCTCCTGTGCATATTTTCCCTTGCAGGAGGGGAAAACAAGCTTGCTATCTATGTTGGGCTTGAGGATGACTATGAGACATGCCATGCATTTATCTCAGAGCTCTTAGACTCTCCGCCACTGCAGTAGTACTATCATACCATTTGTGTCACTGTGCTTGTGACATTTTTCGTACCAACCTGTGGTATCCCTCTCATGTACTGCTCATTTTACTGTATTTCACTCATCCGAGTCACTGAATCATATACCAATTGAAATGGATCAGATACAACTACATGCTACTTGTAAGAATCAATCCAGTTCATACTCATTGTCCAATGCATCCGATGCATCGTTGTCACCGTTATCAAGATCATGTTGTTCTTCTAAAATATGCTGATATTCAACCCACATTGCTTGCACAATGAGATCACATTTCACATGCAGATCATTGTGTGCTTCTCCTGCTGCCTGCTCCCAGTTTGTGGCATGCATATGAGCGTCTGAGTCCAAATAGTCTGCTTCAGGTAGCGCACCTTCTGAGGGATCATGAAAACGTATGAAGTTGTGAATGCAGCACAATGCGGCTGGAATCTGAGCTTGTATGCTCATAGCATATGGCAGTGATAGATGGAGGATTCGGAAACATTGTTTGAGGACACCGAAAATCCACTCGATGACATTTCAAGCAGATGAATGATGGTGATTGAATAACTCTTCTTTCGTAGTTGGCCTGTGAATAATCAGCACATTGTAGAAAGAATAATACCAGTACATGTACCTCAAACCTGCGCAGCCCCATTCTGCAAGGTGGTAGTGCACATTACAATATGGAATGAGTAGTTCAGGCCACAGAGGGAAGCCTGCATCTGCAAGGAAGTATTTCCCTGCAGGAATACAAAGGTCATGGCCTGCTGCAGCCTCATAGACACGTGCATCTGTGGCTGACCCTTCCCAGCCAGTGAGTGCATAAGGAAAGTTGAGTTTGAAGTCACAGGCAAACAGGCAGTTTTGCGAAATGAATCCCTTCCGATTGCAATAGGGACCTCGTTCAAATGCACAAGGTGAAGCATGAATGTGGCTACTGTCAATAGCCCCAATGGTATCTTTGAAAAATGGCCAAAACTTAGGGTCAGAGCGAATTCTATCAGGAACAGAGTCATCCGGCAAGTGAACATAGTTTGTGTAGAAGGGGGAAGACAAGAATATGCTGAGCATCTTGCAAAAATAACTATATAGGAAATACAATGAGACATCAGCAGATCATAACTATTAGCACGTACTTACCAAGAAATCATTTCATTGGAGCGTTGAAATCATTCGCCAACATGCCTGACAGACAGTCCTGTGACAGACGTATATAGAAAAATCGCAAGTTGTTCCTCTAGTGAAACAAACTTGGAGTTGGTATAGCCAAGGGTACGAAGCTCAGATATAAGCTCTGCAAAAGCATGCACATGCATGCCAAGTTCACATTGGATCCATTCTGGGTGGCCAGTCAACAGCTCCATCACCCAGGCTTCGCCAGAGAGAGCAGATGTGTGATATGGCTCCAGGTCTTTAGCATACACTGACTCTAGTATATTGGCTGTAGCGCTGATTAAGATGCTGACTAGAAGGATTGAGTGTTGGATGAGGCAGCATTGAACTTCTGGATGTTGGGGCATAAAATGCTGGAGTCTTGAATGAGGATCCATTGGTGTAGGGACGCATAGAATACAACTCTAACGACAGTGTATTATACCCTACAGCCCATATCAGCGTGCTAGGGTTAGTCCGAATTCGGACTATGATTCAAGTTCCGAACTTCGGCGAAATCCAAGCCGAGATGACATTTGCCAAATGTTGGTCAACATCTGGTTGCCGAACAGCCTCTTAGCGAGCCGCTCAGTGTCCTTCGGGCTTTGTCGTAGCGTAGCGCTCCTCACCACTTCTTGCCTTGCTCGCGATACGCAGGCACACAGTCGGGGATACATAGGGTATAGCACGGGTATGGGCCACACCGCGGGTATGGGGGTCACGGGTATGGCAGGTACGGGTACGGTGTCGAGATGTGCGGCTACCCATGGCCATACCGTACCCGTCAGCGCGGTATACAGGTATGTTCATGGGTAGCCGGCCGCGCTATCTCCGAATGTTCTCCGTGGTGTTATATGTTGGACATAACAAGGATTCGCCACTCACTACGATCCTTATTTTTCGGAGGGTCGTTGACTGCAACAGTGACCCACTGCTTCGATCCTATTTCTCGCTGCTTCAATATTCCTACCAGTTCTATTCTTCCGTCTCGGAGACACATTACTATTGCTGATTACAACTCGGTGATTCAACAGTATAAAGTGAGGTATGCAGACTCTACATTTCTCAATACTCCATCTATTCCATCATTATGGTTAATCGGTCTATTGCTAAGTCTACCTCAACGCGTTCAGATGCTATCGTCATCTCTGCAGCCCATAGCGGACAATATTGCAAAACGTGTTAAGCTTGTCCTTCCACAGGCCAAAGTAACCCCTCCGAGTTGCAATCCGCTGCTCCGGAGGTAATTGATGTCGATGTTGATGGAAATGATGTCTCCTGCCGCTGAACAGGATGATGAAGCTGATCTAAGTACGTGAACTTGTTGTTCGCGTTTGCATAAACCTGGATTAATTTTCACTCACAGACGCACTCAAGAAGACATGGCGTTCAGTGGTCTATTCGTTTTTTAAGCTTGATGCTGTGACTGTCCAGTATCACGATGGACATCTAGTTCATTTCCGTCCAGGAACTTGTCGCTGTACTGGAGGCTGCTTACTTAGCCTCTGATCAAGTTATTTTCAGGACTTATTCGATTCAATGCAAGCGTTACAAGCAGGCTACGCTCTTTTTTCGCGCAACTCGGCCAGTGTCTATGCAGTCATACCTGCAATGGACAAACTCGATAACCACATGAACAATGTCGAGACGAAAGAGAAATTCTGACCAACCATCCAAAGCACGATGAAACTTGCTCGCAAGAAAATGGAT